GGAAATAGCTGAAATGTTATGCTAACTTCAGCAGGTTTGCACTTTGTTTTTATATGACTTGTTGATCATTTCCATGCTGTTCTAATTGGTTTTCTGTTTATGGACAAAACTGACAGAAATTATACGTTCTATTGTTTCATAAACATGACAATGATGAAATTAATCACCAACATTTTCAGCTGTTTGAATGCAGCGAGCAGAGAGGTTGAGATCACGCAGACGGGAAGCTATATTGGCCGTTCCAGTTTCTCTTTAACTCTCAATGTAATTTTAAAAGGTGAAAAAAAAGAGGAAATTTATATTTGTTATATCAGCAAATATTATATGCAGAGCCTGACCATCATTCTCAAATGAGGGCATGTTAAATTAAGATGAAGTGATTTGAAGAAATTGGCTTTTCAACCCAGCTTACATCCCATCACTATTCACAGCATGGATAAGAAGTTAAAATTTAATCAGGGCCCTATTATAAAAATGCTTTGATTAGATGTGTGCAAAATTAATGTGAAGAATCGGTGCTGAATTTATAAAAGTACTGCTTTTTTTGGTTTGTAAAGAAAATTGTGTTCACCAATAGTTTTTTTTTGTAGGTGTCGGTGTTTATAGAAGCATTCAGTGGCATTCGGTTAAAAATATCTAGATTTTTTTTTCTGCAGTTTCTTTTCAGCAATATCCTTTAACAAGCTTTATTAAAACTTGTTATTGATGACAGTTATCAGGCCTTTTCTTTTTGCTCTTACACATATATGCAAGGGAAGAAGATTTTTTCCCTAATATTACTGGAAAAATTCCCAATAAATTAAAATATTTGTTTTTAAAGAAATTATTCTGGGTTTTCCAGGAAAATATGCATTTGAAAGACTGTAGTGAAGTACAGGAATCCCTTTTAAGCGAGTCATGTCTTTATGCTACAAGTTGCCATCATCTCTGTAGGAGGATCCAACCATGTTTTGACAGAGTGTGCCATATTTACACAACATGCATTAATTGGACGATGAAACCCTGTACAGCTTTAATGTTTGTCCCCCTTTGCTTTTCTCCTTCATGAGCATTCACTGATGCGTATGCAAGTTTGCGTGCATGGCAGTGAATGTAGGTTGTAAGGAGAGGTGGGGGTGCTCCGCCTGCACTGTATCTGGACCTGAAGCGCTGCCCATCCCCCACCGAGGAGTGAGAGTTAATTCATCTCCCCTTCATTGGTGGGTGGGCTATTCCTGGGGGTAGAAATGATCCCCCCCTCTGTTTTCTCTAATAGAGGTTTTAGCCCCCGTCCTCAACCCTTTTGTTCTGTTCGGTCACCGGCTCCTTTCTGTCAGAACCACATTAGTTGTTCCTCCAGGCAAAACTTTGCGTGCGTCTCTGACAAGATGCTGGCCAAAACTGAAATAATGTGAGCAATCAGATGCTTTTTTAGGTTCAAATCTGAAAGTGCATCCCTGTTTACACATGAGGGCATCTTCTTTGCTTTGGACACACAGCAAATGTTCTTAACCTTAATTTTACAAGCAGAAGCCACCATGGCAGCTCCACCTTTCCGCCTCCTATCAGACTTTATAGATCTTAATGATGGTTTTTACTCCCTGCATTCCCTCAGCTCTACATGAGGACGTCTGTCACACACAGCTGATAAAATCAGATCCTTCTGAACAGCTGGTTAAGATTACTCAGACTGCGTTAATGTTTACAGTATAGGAACACACATATGGCTCTGTCAGTCAAATCCTCCCACTTCCTCTCAAGGTAACAACGTTCACACAGTGTTTTACTGTTGCAGAGACCCTTTGCCATGGCAACAAATCACCTCTTTGAATAAAAGTAGCCCTTATTCAACTGAATGCTGACCTATGAATGAGTGACGCATCGGCCTCACAGATATCCCATGTAGATGCCGCTTCCTGTTCTGCCTTCCAACATAATAATTATACACCCCTAATTATGGCGTTAGCAGGCAGGCCCGCTCCAACAGTTAGTCAAGCATTCTGAGAGGATTACAAGGATAAAAAAAAAAAAAAGATTATGAAAGAGTACCTTCTGTTTGCAGATGACAGCTGAAGAAATTTGAGCTGTGAATGGAGCTTTGCTGGGGGTTGGAGGGATATGTGACATAAAGTGACCTGCAATGAAAAACGTTGGTGCCAAAATTGTTGAGACAAAACGAGACCTAGAGTGTAAAATGCCAATTGAATGTTAATCAGAAAATCTTAGAGGTGTTAAATGTGCTTTTTTTTTGTTGAGAAGAGAAAGTTTTTCAACTGGTTGGAAAGAATTTAAGCTGTTGGATGAAGATTTAATCAGAAACTAGAAAAGAGGGCAAAGCTGATAGCGGGATGCTAAAAAGACACTTGCAGCTTTAATAGTAAAAAAACGTCTTGCTGTAATAAGAATATACACAAGAATTCATTTAATTCATCCTTTCAATGGCAACTCACTCCTTCCAGTTAAATACCATGTGCTTCTTTACCCTGTCAAAAACATCCTAGTAAATATGGAGCAGTTTGCAAGGCAAAACGGGCTAGAAATACTTCTGCAGGGAACTCAATAGTTATTCTCAAGAGATCTTTTTTTTTTTCATCCACTCTTTTTTTCTTCAAATAATTTCTGCTTCCTGCTGTCTTGTCTCTGATTCCCTTTCTCATCCCTCTTGCTTTCAGTGCACCAATAACAGGCCTGTCTAAGTGTCTGGCCCCGAGTCCTAGTAGCAGAGTTATCCTCCTCCCCCTCAGAAAGTTGTCAAAGCTGTTGACCTTGGACAGGAAACACAACCAATTGCTATCTTGAAGCATTGTTATAATTTGAGTACATCTGCAGGCGTGTTTATGGGCAGAGCATCATTATCTGTGTATCACTCCCCACAAACACATCTGTACACAAACCGCTCGTCTCTCACACCTTAAACGACACATGTTGGAGAGCAGAGCAAGCGTGCTCACACTGTTACTGGGCATCTGCTTTGAGAAGGCTCTAATGAGCAGCGACTGGCTCAGTCACAGAGGTAAACAACAGGAATGGAGGCCTTGTTACCGTAGAGCCGGTTTGCTATGATACCTCAGGGTGCAGAGCTTTGCCAAGTTACTGTAATTCTTTCTGATAGGTCTTCCTCTAACGCCCCATCTGACCTCAGAGGGGAGCTTTTCCTTCCTCTCCTTTGCTGTCTCAGGTTGGCTCATACCATGCATATTTCATAGATGATCCCAGTGTACCATCAAGCCACTGGCCGTAGGAATGGATCTGAACTCCAGTGGAATGTGATGCATAAAAACATGCTCAGTGTGCATGCACAGGAACTCTAACAGAGTCGTGATTATACAACACCACAGCATATAGAGTTGCCATTTTTCATGCTTCTACTTAAGGGCATAAATAACATTTAGCTACTGTCTGCACTTGCTGGAAGATGTAAATATTTGTACAGTAAGCGAAGCGCAGAGGGGGAAATCCAGCTAGGTGGGATTGTATTTTGTTTGGGACCAAAAGAGAAGACTTCTTTGTTGTTCAGTCTGCTTTCCTCAGGCTTAAACTTATAGATTATTTGCTTGCACTAAAAATTGTAATGTGATGGTCTTGCATATATTTTATTTAAGCGGTCCTTTGCAAAGGAGGTATAGCACATTGATATGCAGTCAGGCAATCAAACACTGTAATTTGGTATGCTATTGATACTGTTTGCATATTTTTGCAATCGTTAATTTTCAATTTCTTTATTATTTGCACATTAAAAGAAATAAAATAACTCAAATAACTTAAAAATATTGGCTAATTGTGTTTTATCTGAGTACATTTCATGTTTAGATTGAAAAGCACAAGTGACCTTTTCATGTTAATAAGTGGTTTCATGCCTTTTAATTATTTGGCAAATTTTATTCCCATGCTATCGAAAAGTGAGACATTTTAGTATTTTGAAAACTCTAAATGCAATTATATGTATTTGATAAATTGCCCATCTACAGTATGAATTAATTGCATGTTTTTCTTAGATTTTAAAGTGAAAACAGATTCATTTGGTGGCTTACACATATTTAGAAAAGTTTTTTTTGTGAGGTATTCTCTCTAGTTGGGTTTTCCACGGTGCAGTAAATGCAACTAAGCAAAAAATAATAAGCTGTCTATGTTTATTTTTTTGTTTCATTTTTTTTCTCGATAAATTGAATTGTTTTTTTTTTCATTGCGCTTCCTTAATTTGCTTCAAATATTACCGTATTGGTCTGTTTTTCACTCAGATTGATATAACCTTTGTGTTATTTTAGTTTCTTTTTACAACTCTAGGTTTACCAGAGGAAAGTACTTTTTTTATTTGATAAGGAGATGAGAGCTCTGGTGCCTGATGAGAATCACAGTCGGTCCTCGTTGGACATGAATGGGAGAGGATACTTGACTAGATCGCTGCCTTGAGTTTTGCAAGCTTGATATAAATAGGCCAGTGGACTGGGTCATCTTTTCCACTGTGCATTTAATTTATAACGTTTTTATTCCCCTTGCCTACATTTTATTCTTTGCAACAAATGACTTCACCATCTTCAGCTCCTTTTTTCTTTCCTTTCCCCTCTTTTTTCCATCACTTGAGCACAGCTAATCAAGTTTACATCCTTTCCTTCTGTGCATTTGCTGGAACATTATCTCCAACATTCTGTAGAAGTCCAGACTTGCTTTATCAGGAAGTTTTTATGATTTTATTTAATTTTCCGAGTCTCAAATCTTTTCAAAGTATTCATTCACATTCAGATGATATATTTCTTATTGTCTAGTTGCTTGCGTTCACCTTAACAGCCTCGGTTAAAGCCCATCTCACTCTGCGGAGAGCAGCGGTACGCTGATGTAAACAGAACTAGAGCTGTTGTTGCTTGGTGCCGTGCCTCTGGTTGTCTTGGTGATGTTTCCCATTTTGCTCATTGCTGTTGCTTCCATTTGTTTCGAAGCGTTTCCTGTGTTAACAGATGATAGATTGACCACTTTATAAATTTTTTTTTCTCCTTCTGGACTCAGCTCTTTGTTTCTCTTTGCAGGGCTGGAAAGCGGTGGTGTGACTTTGAAGGAGCCGGTTTCTGATGGGGAAATTGAGAGCTCTACCACGGTCACATTACGCTGCCACATCGATGGACACCCACGGTAAGCCTTCCCTTCCACAGCAGGCATCTAAAGTGAAGAACATGTCTCACCTTTTCTCCTTACCTCACCTGTGGACCCTCTGCCCTCGTCCCCCTTTAGGCCGACCTGCCAGTGGTTCAAAGATGGAGTGAAGCTGACTGAAAGCAGCCATCAGATCAACAACAAAGAGAGAACTCTGACCATTCAGAGCGCCGGTCTGGACGACAGCGGCCTTTACTACTGCTGTGCCAAAAACGCAGCTGGACACGTCTGCAGCAACCACAACTTCACCCTCACCATCATAGGTGCATATGTTAATTCTCATATAGATTATATTTTAGACATTTTGCACTAAAAAACAAAATTAGAGCATTAACTACTAGGGGTGTGGGAAATAATCGTTTTGGCGATATATCATGATATTCGGCTGCCCAATATAATATCAATCTTTCACTTCTTAGTATCGATAAAAAAAAAATGGTTACATAAAACATTGATGGGAAAATGGGCTACCTCTGCACCACCACTCTGGCAGAAAGCGCTGTGGAGCCCTTTAACTGTGCGTGCAGCACCAAATCTGTATTTGAGGCAGTCACAGTGGAAGAAAACCCAAAACAACATGGATAATAATACCTAATCAATATTTTCTGATGAAAATATACAGCACTTGCTGTTTTATCTCATCATTTGATTTTGATAGCTGGGGAAAATATGGCAATATATAGTGATACTGCAATATCGTGATAATATCGTATCGTGACCCAAGTATCGCGACATGTATCGAATCGCAACACTCATGCCAATACTCACCTCTATTAACTACTAATCTCAAAGATATTACGTTTCAAGGAAGCCAGAAATTATGTTATTTAGAAGGGTCAAGCATAAACCAAGCTTAACTGTCAATCATGGTTTGTTTTTATCTTTATTGTTCTGAAGGAAATGATAGTCCACTGTTTCCAGAATTGTTTTAAATCATTCCATATTAGTGACTCTAAAATGGACCCTGACTTGAACCTCTCCCCAAAGCTCCATGTTATTTTAGAGCCATTCAGAGATGCAAAAAAAAAAGAAATGGAAAGCCAGACTGTTCTACTTTATAGGTAAAATGCTGAATTCATGGCTTCATCAGTTTTTGGGCCCATGACCATGTTTGGCTGGCAGCAGGATTTTCCTTTTCTGAAGTATTTTTTAGGTTTTGTCTTTAAGCCTACTTCATGTTGGAAGTAAGGTGCTGCTTAAAAAAAAAAGGCCTGGTTTTTGTAGGTTAATGAAACAAAAAAATTTTTTATTTCCCATGTTGTCTGGTTGGTTTTAATGATTATTTACCTCCATTAATTCATAGAATGGTGGTTTGAAAACTGCTTTTTATGTATTCAAACAGGATATCATTTTCTGGTATTAAGTTTATTTTGATCAGAATTATTCACGTTTAATGGAGTAAAAATGAAAAAAATTAAAAAGGACGCTTCAATGTCTTTTTATTATGAATTTATTTTAAATCCATTAATAGGTAAGGGGTTTGGTTAAAAGAAATCCAAGAAAATCACATGTTCAAACGTGTAAGACCAAATATAATCGCACATTATATGAAATTATGTTAAAAGAGAAAATATAAAACTCCCCTTTTTGTTAATAGGATTCCTTGTGCATGTAAATATGGATGGCCAATTTAACTGATTAAGTCAAACGCCCTAGGTTAAGCCCCGACATGGAGATACTTGTAAAATCCTAGCCATTATTCACTTTATTCTATTTTATGTTGATTTTCCTCTTTGCTTTTTTTCAAAGTGTGCTGCTACTGCAAATGAAAGGAAAGGATGTACGTTTAAACACCATTAGTGATGAGAGAAAGCAAGAGGAAGCCCTGAAACGGCCTCTAATGAGATTATAAAAGAGCGTGCACGTACCATTATTTTTTCACCACCCACACAGGCTGAAATATGAATATCAAAACATGTAAGCCAACAGTAACTGAATATCCTGAAGCAGAGAGATCCCAATGATGATCCGAGTGGAAGAACTGGCTGTTGTTCAGAGACGCTGCTTGTGATCCATCAGGATATGTTGTTTAACCCTTTAGATCTAGTTGTTTACATCTGTGCTCCAACTAGGGCTGCAACTAATGATTATTTAGCAAATTGATTAATATGTTGGTTATTTTCTTGATTTAATTGATAAAAAATCTAATAGTTAACGATTGTTTAAAGAAGACTTTTTACTAAATTAGAAAAAAATCAAACGGGTGAAACTAAAACTTTTCCAATTGGGGAGTTCTGGATAGAGCATATGAACAAAAAAATCTCTATATTTTTTATCTTAAATGCAAAATTTTGATATATGTTTTACAATGTGGGTCGTTCTGTCACATAAAGACATGTTTTAGAGTCTCTACTCTCCAGTTAACAATGAATCGATTACTGAATGAGTTGACGTTTATTTCAATAATCGATTAATCACAATTAATATGCCTAATTGTTTTAGCCCTAGCTCCAACTTATTACCCTCCCATAAAACACATAAAAACGACGTTAACACCTGTGTGTAGGGGATGAAAACAACACGTTTCCAGTTACAGCTTCTGTCTTTCTTTTAGGCGTCACTGTAAGAAAAAAAGCTGTTTTTCCTGTACATGGAGGCCCTCCCAGTGATTTCTTGGGTGGGCCAGGTGTTGTCTTACTTCACACCTTTTTTTGTTGTGTTTTTTCCTAAACCAGCCCTGAGTCTTATCCCAACAGAGCCTCTGGCCCCGTTCCTCGTATTCATAGCTTCGCAGCTTTGAGGTTTTGACCCTAATCTCTAAACCTGCCTGGATTTGGGGAGATTTTCATTCTCCCTCCTACTTTATGGAGTTCAGCAGTTTTTAGCTTTTTATTCAGAGTAGAATACTCGTCATGCTTGCATTGTATAACAAATCTCCCCCTAGTTTTTCCCAGCAGGCCTTTTTTCATAAAATAACAAATCAGTTTGGGCTTCATCAGGTTTTGAAATGTTTATAATCTATAAAAGCGCACAAAAGATTTTATTTTCATTTATTAAATGACAATGGATTAAAAAACAAGTCAAAAAGAGAAGATCAGGTATATGACTTAGAACTGTTTATGAAATCTTTCATCAGGTCTTTCTTGTTTTTTTATTCATTTAACCTTAATTTGTGGGGATAGATTGTCTTAAGATGATCACAGAAACATAGGGGATAATCTCTGGTTCAATGACCCAAGAGGAACAAAAGATAAAGACCAGGATAAGCTTAAGGGTTGGTTCACTGACTTTATTTACTCTTCCGTGTGGATGTTGAGGCATTGAAGCCCAGATCAACCTGAAGCTGCTGCTTGCAGCTTCTAATCAAAAGGCGCCTGTTCATAACTGCAGCATGAAAACCACTTATTGCCGGTGGAATCAGGTGCGCATGTAAACATGCATATGTTTTTATACCTGTTTCATAGACAGTAGCATCCCGAGGGCGGTGGTCACCCCCGAGGACCAGGTGGTTTTGAGGAACGAGGAGGCCATGTTCCACTGTCAGTTTACCGCCGAGCCCGTACCCACGCTGGAGTGGTACCATGGAAACGAGCTGCTGATTAACAAGTCCCGGTATGTACCATCTTTAATTTGTTCCACCGCTTTATTTTAATGCTTCTATCGACCAATCATCTGTCTTTACCTGCTCTTCTCATCTCCCAACTCAAACCTAAGATCCATCCTCCTTAGAATCCGCTGCATTGGGAAGTTTCTCCACTTCCTTTTGTAGGAACCTTTGAAGTGTCCTCCTGGCTCTCTGGGCCGTTTCAACATTAAGGGAAGCTGTAGCTGTAACACTGGACCATAAAATGTTTCAGCCGTCCATCATACATCACATAAACACAGCCCTTCTCTCCCTCCATCACAAAGGAGTCTCAGTCCTCTAGTTTTCTCACAGTGAGCAGAAACCGCCCTCAGGCTACCAGTAAAGCCCTTATATACACTCAGTGCTCTTGCAAACTTCAATATAACTGGTGTTTTATGAAGTTAACAACATGAAGTGATACATAAAAGTGAAGTAAAAAGAAATTATCCATGGGTTTTTCATTTTCTTTCCAAATAAAACCCTCAAATGTGTGGCATGCTTTTATTTATTATGTATTTGAGACCCTTTACTTTGTTAGTCTCAGAAAATCCAGCAAAGCTTTTAAAAGCTGCCTAGATACTAGTAAAGTCCCACAAGGTGTATATTAATCTCAGTAAATAACCATACATAGCCTAGATGACAGTAAAGATGGACTACAGCAGCAGAAGACCATGCAGGCTGCGCTCCCCTATCCGCCGTCCAGTTAAAAACAAGGAACCAAGTCTTGATTTCCTCTCTGATGCTGATACTGTCAGGGTACACTGTAAAAAAAGTTAACCTGACTCCGCCAGATGGATTTGCTCCGCATATCCATTTGGAAACCTTCCGTTGAAGTAATTTTGGGAAGGGGCAAAAATACTGGTTTGCTGATTGGCCTATGTTGGTGATAGACGGGCCAAATAAACCAATCAGATCAATGAAGCATATGACGTACTAACAGAGCGACAACAAAAACACAACCACAAGCCAGGCTACTCTTGCCGAAACCAGTCGGGAGAAGAGCAAAGACATCTTTTCCTCTGAGAAAAGCCTCCAGAGCAGTGTTTAGCTCTTCTGTAATGAAGAAATACTCTGTAATTCCGATAACACTTGCTCGATAGCCACGCTAACGCTAGTTTCATCGGCTGAAGCCGCCATGTTCTTTAGACTGAACTGTCGCGCTTCTCGTTGCGCCACACACACGTTTGGTGAACGGCTCCAAATTTTCTTTAACGGAAAGTAGCCAGACTGATCTGCGAGTGAAACCTTGAAAGCTTGCGAGATCAGGATGGTCTCACAAGGCTAGGAAAAAGTGGCTCTGATCTCATCGGCCTTCATGTTTAAAGTTTGACTCCCCAGAATGTCACCAATTACTGCAGAAGTCTATTAATTACTCCTTAACTTAATTAGGGTGTGTTGAAGCAAAGTAGCAGGACAGAGAAATAGGGAGCAAAAGGAGGGTTGTCTTTTTTTTTTATTAAATTTAATACTGCAAATAGTAATATAGATATGAAGTATTTCTTATCTTATGCTATAATGTTTAGATATTTAATCACAGTTTTCAACAAGAGGCCAAAATTAACCTGAAAAAACGTAAGAAAATCTTTTAAAAGTATAAAATATACCATTAAGCATCACACTTGACATGTCATAAATCCTTATACTATATCTTATTAGTATTATTTCAGTTATTCATATCTGTTATATTTCTGACAAAGTTGTATTCTTGTATAGTTTACATAATATCACATTGCTGCAGCTGTGATGTCATTATTCAGATTTCATTTTTTCGTTCAATCTGGGTTATGCTGCTCTTCAGCCCACACAGATCAAACCGGTTTCCATCTGTTTGGCTCCACAGTTTCTCTATAATGGGCTCTTTGCCCTGTAGTCCTGTTCAGGTAATGAATGAGACAAGGTGAAAGTCCATTATCTGGACTACATGTCTGCCTCGGCGTGTAGTTGTGCATTCATAGTGCCTAGAGAGCCCAAATGTGTGTAGACTCTAACCAATTGCACATACAGTAGCAGCAATTTCCTAACTTTCGCTGATGGACCCTTGGCCTGTCCTTTGCTGGTACCCTACAATTCCTTTTTAAACATCAATCTTTGTACTAAAATATTCTTTCTGTCATGATTTGTGGACATTAAGATCTAAAGAGAAGCATCATCTCCTGGTCAGACCCTTCATGAAGGGGGGTGGGGCGTCTGTTTGCAGGGAGTGGCCTGCCATTCAGCTGGCGTTTGACTGGGAAGGGACATTTTGAATGGCTGCTACTGTACAGGAGCTGCAGGTTCACTGGGATGCATTTTTCTACAAAGCATGTCATTTGCAGTTTGTATCCTGTAGAACACCTTAGACATTTGGTGGAGAGGTGATTCAGAGCCAAACCAACCTGCAGCGACTTAGGGATATAAAGAGAAATCTCTGAGAAACGTTTCTGATTCTTTGTTGAATCCGAGAGAAGAAGAATTGAGACATTTCTGAAGGCAGAAAGAGGCCCGAACTGTTACCACCAAAGGTGTATGTCATAATCCGCCAAGGTTAATGTTCTGTTAGGACTTAAGGGCAAACATTATGAACACACTGAACTATTGTAGACAGGTGTGTGATGCTGTGGGCATGCTGTTCTCCAGCACAGACAGGAAGAATTGATGGTGTGAAGGTTAACCTTCCAGCAGGGCAGAGACGCAAAACATACAAGCAGCCATAATCATGTGTCAAAACAGCCTAGTTAAAGTACAGACCTTAATGCAAAGATGCCTCTCCAGCTTGACTCAGCATGAGCTACTTTGCAAAGAGGACAGAAAATATAGTCTACAGATTTGCAATTTTTAGAGAATTACCCCTAAATCCTCACAGCTGTAATTGAGCAAAAAAGTTTGTATTGACTGATTCAGTAAAAAAAATAAAATGCAAATGCATACTACACTTATATTTTTATTGCAAAAGAATAAAAAAAAAGTGTACCCTCTTCCTTCCACATCCCAACAATACAAACCGAAGTTTGTAATAAAAAAAAAAAGAAATCATTAAAACCATTGGATGCATTTGCGAGGCGCTATGTCAGAGATAATCTCTTTGTTATTTCATCTTTAGGGTTTAACTCAAGGTGAAAGACTTAAATATCCCCGGCTGCTCACTTGTTTAATAAACCAAGGCAGTGTTGGCAGGCTTGCAAAAAAAGATTTAGATTTCTCTTTCAAACCTGACCTCGCTGTGGTTGAGGAATTTGTGTTTTGTGTATTCCTGTTTATTGATCTGAGCTGATTGTAACGCCAGAGGAATGCAGCTCTGCGGAAAATCCTCTGTTCTGCTCTGTTTAGATAACCCTCTGCAGACTTTTTGTTTGACTTATCCGATGAGGATTGTTTTCATTCGTTTGAAATTAGAAGAAAATAGACATGCTTAAGCTCAAGGCCGTTGTAAAAATGTGAAGCTGAGCGATTGTTTATGCCTGCGATCCAGCAGAGCGATGAGGATATTGTTCTTCTGAGGTTATTTTGGAGGTTTCCATCCAGATTGAAATTGTTTTGCAGACTAGTTCATCATTGCAGTCATGGGGAGGGGTGTACTCAAGGTCCCGCAGCTCATTTCCCTCCCTGATCCTGAACAAAGAAGACAAGATGACAGAAATATCACTTCTCTTCAGGGAATCCACAGCAGAAGCTCGGAGTCCTGGAGGAGTCCTGCTCATTGATCATTCTACACAAGAAAATATAAAAACATTCACTCACAATTTTACTTGTTTCTTCCTTTATTAGTATGTAATTAATCTTAGTTTCTTTTTTTGCTTTTTTAACTAAATCCACAATAAGTTCAGTGATGAGTTCTTGGTTTGACTTTGGAGATATTATGACATGAGAGATTTCCATCTCACTCTGGCTTAAGGTCAGCCTTTAATTACCTTGCATCGCTTACATTGATGCTTCCAGCAACTGGGGTCCAGCTGGCAGCCTGGACCCCCGAAGGATGTTCTTATTTTGAAGTTATAGCAGAATGAGGGAAGGCTTTATTTTCATTGCTAAAGACATTTTTCCTCCTGCTGACTAAAGATGCTGATTGTGTTTTTGCCCAGTTTAGGAGGGATAAACTCACTTGTCAAGGTTGAAGGGTTTCAGCTGGGAATTCCCAGCAGATGAGGCCTTAGTTGAGGGGATTTAATTGTATGAGCTGTTATTCTGGGTTTTGATTCAGTATATGAAGCCTGGAATTTGATTATTATTAATATTTCTGGTCTGAATTAACATAAAATATATTTGTAGTTCCAGATCTTATTCTCAATCCCATTGTTTACCATCAATCCTGGTTATCAATCTCTAAGTCGATTCATCTGTCCGCAAGTTTATTTATCCATCCCATCATGATTAGTTCTTTATCCTCCCATCACCTATATATTATCCATTCCCTCTCTTTTTTATTTTCCTGTTCAGTCTGTATTTATATCTACTCCTTTGTTCATAAATGTATTTCTCCATCCATCCATCCTCTTGGTCCTTTCTGTGTTTGCAATTTTGGAGTTGGCCAAAACATGACCTGAGAATTTTGGGAAGTTAAGTTTGATTTATCCATCTGTAGGAGCTCTGGTTCTGTACCATTTAATTCATGCACTACCAAAATGTTGCTTTAGCTTTAGTTCAATCTTTGTCTTCCCTGCAGGGTGTTCCTGCTGTCCAATGGGAGTTTGCTGATCACACAAGTCAAGCCCAGGAACGTAGGAGACTACAAGTGTGTTGGCCGTGGCATCACAGGATCTAAGGTCACTCTGACGGCTTCTCTCCTAATAGCCGGTACGCTGACACTCGCACCCCCACACACACATTAAACTGCAGCTGTTGGATTAGTGACGGACAAAAACCTGATTCTGAAATCTGAGAGGACATTATCTCCCTCTCTATGGCTCTGCGCTGCACTTCATTCCTTTCACTTAGAGCCAGATCTCCCTGATGATCATATTCCCGTACAGACATCCGGCCTTGCTTGTACTCGATACATGCTGAAGTCTCCAGTGGATCAAATTGTTTCCTCAAACAGCCCAGGTGTTTTCCAGACTTGTTTAGACAAACAAGCTTCCTCCAAAGTAAGCGACACCAGGCAGAGATCAACAGTTCGGAATAACATCATGGTGCTGCTGAAAGAAGGAAAAGAACCATTCGGCTCCATGCAAAACTACTCATGCACCTTAAATGTTTTTCACAGCAACAAACCTCAAATTGATCAACTGGAATGTAACGTAAAAAAACCAACAGAAAGCATTGCAGCAAAAGAGGGAGAAACTTGTTCATGGTTTTCTTTTTCTTTACCTAAGCAAAAATATAAAAAGTATGACTTTTATATAAGAAAATGCAAGAAAAACTCTCTAAGGAATAGTTTTAACTGGGTGCAGTGGGTTAGTGTTAGAATCCTGTAGAGCTAGCTGCAGGATCTTCTCCTCTTGCATGTTAAGATGCATGTGCATGCAAGTTAGGAACTGAGCTCAGCGCTGGAATTTCTCAGCGTTTCAAAGTCCTGATCACCTGATTTCTTTCCTCGTTTTCCCAAGGGTCATGGATTAACAAGGTACGAATGTATCTGCAGTTTAAACCCATTGAACTGCAGCTCCATTTAAATAGCCTGGTGATACCCCAGCTAGAGCACTGTGTCACAGGTTTTAATTGTCCCATCTGTGCTACACCTTTGTTACTCTTCCTCTTTCCTTTGTTTTTTTCCTCCACAGTCTGAAAAGCTCTGGACATTTATTTCACTGTTTTTTTTTTCATAGATCTGGATAAGTAGAGGAAATTAAAATTTTTGAGGAAAAATGGGTGTATTTTCAGACCTTATTCTTTTCCCCATTTATGACCTTTATCTGTTTTTTCTAACCAGGTCATCCAGACTAATTCATGCCATGAACACAGCATTTTACTCTGGTTTCAGTTTAGAACCAATAAGATGATCACTCATGTAACATAAAACCGTTTTTATAAGAATAGATTTTATCGATATAAACAGCTCTTTCAGGACATAAGAAAGGCATCAATAAAACGTTGCTGTGTTCAAGCTACAATCTAAACTGTTGTGGTTAGAGAAAAGAACTGTTGCATTATGGGTGTCCTGCGCTGAGATTAATCTGCTCTGTTTCAGACCTGCAAGTATTTAGGCTTTACGTACGTGATCTTCAACACTTTATTGTCTTTTTGCTCTTCCTTTCTCCTTCCTTCCTGTCTCTCTTAACATTTTCTTTCCTTCTTTATTTTTTCTTTTGATTTTTTCTCTTCTTTCATTCCTTGTCATTTTGCTTCCTTTTTTTGCTCCTTCTTAACCTTCTTTCCTTTTTTCTAATCTGTTCCTCCTTATATCCTTCCATCTTTCCTAATGTCCTCTCTTCCCTTCTTCCTGTCCTTCAGCTCTTCCTTGATTCTATCCCACCTCTCTTCCATCTTGCATTCAGCCTTTAGAGCTCTGCTGGCCCATAAAGTATTAATGTCTTCTGGTTGGGTATTAAAGCTAACAGCAGTCTAAGGTCTTGTGAGCTGTAACACAGATCTCATTGCTCTCTGTATTTAGAGGCTGCTGATTTTTGCTTTGACCCTCCAAACAGGAGTTAATCCCCTTTAAGTCCAACCTATATGTTCTCCGTTTGTCTACTTTGCACTAATTTCTGCAGCCTGCTTCTCAAATCAGAGGATTTACTTAAACAAGACAAGAAATCCTTTACTTTGGAATTAGCTGTGCTCAAATGGGGTCACATTCCAAATGCTTCAGCAACTCTGAAAGAAAATCGATGATTAAATTAAAACCATTAGTAGCTATTTAAATCTCTGTTTCACACGGGGTCTTTTCCATCTCTTCGCCCTCCTCCACAGAAATCGGAGACATGTCGCCAAAGATGTCGAAGGTGTTCGTCGCCGACACCGTTCAGCGAGTAAACTGTCACCCCCCACGAGGGAAGCCTGAACCCGAGGTTTGGTGGGAGAGGGAAGGTCAGAAGGTGCCTGAGGAGGGCCGGGTGCACCAGGAGGGCCAGGATTTGGTCTTCAGTCCGACGGAAGAGGGAGATTCAGGCGTCTATACCTGTGTGGCCCAAAACAAGGCCGGGCGTAGGATCAAGAACGTCACGTTTACCGTAGCTAGTAAGTTGTTGATAGAAAAATTAATTACCTTTTCTTTGTTTTAGATAAAAGGTTGTAGCTATGACCTTTAAAATTATTTGTTTCTTTAATAATGATTAATGGTAAAAACAAACAAAAAAAACTAAGATTTAATTCTTTCAAAAAATAGTTGACATTGTCAAAAATAAATGTTTAATAAATCTAAGTACATTAAACATTCTTTCAAAAAACAAGAAAAAAAAGATTATTTGATAAATTAAACAGAATAAAAATAAATGAATGATTTCAATCCTTTGCAGTGTATCTTTTGTCTGATTAGGGGTGACGTATGTTGTTGTGTTTCAGTAGATTTTTACACTCCAGCTGTCAAACTATTATTGGACGATTTTGATAATAAAAAAAACAAAGTAATGAAAGAAAAATCTTAATTTTTTGCAAAAATCGTATTGGTTGTGTGTCGTGGGGACAATGTTGAGAACAATGTGACCAATCGTTTGATTTGGACATTTTGAGGTGCATCTTGCAGAGCTGTGAGGACATAATGAAAATACATGATGTTATCTTTGGTGTGCGTCCACAGCTGCCCCAGTGTGGGTGTCTAAACCTCAGGACAGCAGTTTGGAAGAAGGTAAACCAGGTTACCTGCACTGTTATGCTCAGGCCAACCCTGAACCTGAGGTCACCTGGTTCCGCAGCAGCTTAATCATTGCGCCAGAGGTTTGTTGTCATAACACAGCTGTGAAATCTTCAAATCATAAAACATAGAACTCCTTCTGAGAGTCTGTATTTTCTTTATTTTGCCTTCCCAGGACACTCGTTTTAAATTGTTTCCTAATGGCACCCTGAGAATCAACAACGTGGAGGTCTACGACGCTCACATGTACGGCTGTGAAACCAAGAACCTAGGCGGCAGACTGAGTGGCTTAGCTAAAGTCACGGTGCTTGGTAAGCTGCGGGAAAATCGTCCTGCTGGTCATTTCATCCAATTTGCTTCTCTGTTTGGTTTCTTTTTTAAATGAGTGCAATGACTGATATCATCAGCAACAAAACAAACCTTCTTCATGCCTGTTTGGGTCTGCTAAATCAGGAATTGGCATCGTTCTCGTGGGCGTTCTGCAGGGCAAACACAGAGGTTTGATTCATGACTCATGCAGACTTTTAACACCTACTTCGCCATCATGCATTCCCGATTCCTCCTGTAGGTTTAAACCCCGAGACACGGTCAGCCTGTTTGAATGATCTCAACCTCTGAGGCTGCAGAGGCAATCCTAGCTAATAATGTTTTATGACGCTGCAATCCTAAAACTTTATTTTATTGGGATTTTTTTAGCATCGTTCGAACAGATTATTCTCTAATTGTGAAGCTGGACTAAACCAGAAACACTTAAATACAACCAGCTGCTTGTTTACGTGAGAAGATTACTTATGTGGTTATTTAATCTAATTTTAAATCCAGTTTTTCTAGGAAAGCTGTTCTATGTGGACACATTTAAAGCCTCTAAACTTAAGAGCATGACTCAAACAACTTCTAAGACATGGATGTTTCCCTTTAACCCACAGGAAATGTATTCATATTGAATCTGGAGAAGCTGCAGAGATAATTTTCATATCAGAAGATCTCCTTAAAGGAAATCATCTGTTGAAAGTTAGTTATATTAGAGAGCAGGCGGAGTGAGCTCATATCAGATGAGACCTAAACCAAAACATTTGCTAATTCTTTGGTAAAAAGTCAGCGCTTCAAATTGTTCAGCAGAAAAGCATGGTGATGGCAGCAGCATTATCGGTAGGGACTGAGAAGTTGTCACAGATGGAGTTAAATGCATGGCAATCCTGGAAGGAAAAATAACAATTACATTTTTAAACCGGGTTTAAACTGTGAGTTTATAAATTGCTTAAAAACACTTGTGCTGCCTAATCTGTGCTCCTGACCACGGCCGACCCCTGATAATTCTCAAGCAATGGTAAATATTGGGTGGCTTCAGTGAAGCTGTGGTTAGTGCTCAATGTGGCCAGGTAGGTTTGAATCTTACCTTTGATCCTTTGACGCATGTCTCTCTGCCTCTCTCATACCTGTCAGCCCACTGTCGCAAAAACAAACCAATAATGCCGTAAAAACCTTAATAAATAAATATTGTCTGGGGTAAGGCTGCAACATTTGTAGTTCTAAAAAAGCTTTATTTAGCCGGACTGAGGGAAAAAATTTTCTCTTTGGATTGTAAAGAACCCCCTGAGATCTGAGACAACAGTGAGCAATATTTCAATGTCAATGTGCAAAACTTAAAACACACCTCACATCAGGAGAAAAACGTTGTCATTCCTCTAATTCACAGCTATGGGTTACTTTGTCTTGGTCTTTCACATAAAACCTCGAAGAGATACATTAAAGCTTGTCGCTAGATATTCAAGGGGTCTGAATGTGTTTGCAAAGCACAGCAGATGTCAGCCCGCTGACCTTTCATCTGCAGGGAGAGTTGCACAAAGAAGGATTTAACCTTCCCCGCCTCCCCATCTTTTCACTGAAGGTGTTAACCACATGTAATGTTTCTTGGACTTTCAGAGAAGCTGAAGTTCACACCCACCCCCCAGCCTTCCCAGTGCCTGGAGCTGGATAAGGAGATCATCATCCAGTGCTCCGCCAAGGGCAAAGAGGTCCCCACAATCCGCTGGACCAAAGCAGGTATGCATGTTGCTGGCTTAAGGCTGATTTATACTTCGAAACTAGGTCGTCTGCGTAAGGGTTGCAGTGAAGAAAAAGATGTCCCCGCCCCCTCCGCAGACACTCTGCTGCACCTCTCCCAAATTGTAGGTGACCGCAGACAGGAGGCCGGCTTGTTTTGTTTTTATTTGCTCTCCGCTGCTGCAGATCTGATGTAGAAAGACCTATTTTAACTATATCTTACCTCCAATACAAAAAAAGATGGTGTGAAAAAGACTTGTGATCATTGACTTCTACACTCCCCGGCCACTTTATTAGGTACCCCATGCTAGTAACGGGTTGGACCCCTTTTGCCTTCAGAACTGCCTCAATTCTTCGTGGCATAGATTCAACAAGGTGCTGGAAGCATTCCTCAGGGAGTTTGGTCCATATTGACATGATGACATCACACAGTTGCCGCAGATTTGTCGGCTGCACATCCATGATGCGAATCTCCCGTTCCACCACATCCCAAAGATGCTCTATTGGATTGAGATCAGGTGACTGTGGAGGCCATTTGAGTACAGTGAACTCATTGTCATGTTCAAGAAACCAGTCTGAGATGATTCCAGCTTTATGACATGGCGCATTATCCTGCTGAAAGTAGCCATCAGAAGTTGGGTACATTGTGGTCATAAAGGGATGGACATGGTCAGCAACAATACTCAGGTAGGCTGTGGCTTTGCAACGATGCTCAATTGGTACCAAGGGGCCCAAAGAGTGCCAAGAAAATATTCCCCACACCATGACACCACCACCACCAGCCTGAACCGTTGATACAAGGCAGGATGGATCCATGCTTTCATGTTGTAGACGCCAAATTCTGACCCTACCATCCGAATGTCGCAGCAGAAATCGAGACTCATCAGACCAGGCAACGTTTTTCCAATCTTCTATTGTCCAATTTTGATGAGCTTGTGCAAAGTGTAGCCTCAGTTTCCTGTTCTTAGCTGAAAGGAGTGGCACCCGGTGTGGTCTTCTGCTGCTGTAGCCCATCTGCCTCAAAGTTCGACGTACTGTGCGTTCAGAGATGCTCTTCTGCCCACCTTGGTTATAACGGGTGGTTATTTGAGTCACTGTTGCCCTTCTATCAGCTCGAACCAGTCTGGCCATTCTCCTCTGACCTCTGGCATCAACAAGGCATTTCCGCCCACAGAACTGCCGCTCACTGGATGTTTTTTCTTTTTCGGACCACTCTCTGTAAACCCTAGAGATGGTTGTGCGTGAAAATCCCAGTAGATCAGCAGTTTCTGAAATACTCAGACCAGCCCTTTTGGCACCAACAATCATACCACGTTCAAAGTCATTCAAATCACCTTTCTTCCCCATACTGATGCTCGGTTTGGACTGCAGGAGATTGTCTTGACCATGTCTACATGCCTAAATGCACCGAGTTGCCGCCATGTGATTGGCTGCTTAGAAATTAAGTGTTAACGAGCAGTTGGACAGGTGTATCTAATAAAGTGGCCGGTGAGTGTAGATCTCGTTTGTCTTCATTAACCACGATGGATTTCCAGTCTCCTCCTAAAGCCACTCCCTGCCTCTCTGTCTCCCCCTACAGATGGAGGAGAGCTACCCCCGCACCTGGATCAGAGGAACGGCCAGCTCCGCTTCGCCAAAGTCACTCGTAGCGACGCTGGCAACTACACCTGCATTGCCTCCAACAGCCTGCAGGGGGAGATCAGAGCCCTGGTCACCCTCACTGTGGCAGGTAAACACCAACCCTGACTGATGTTTCTTTAAAGGATCCAAACAAAGCAGCATTTATTGTCCTTTTGGGGATATTTTTAGCAATAGCTGAGGATCTATGGGTTTCTGTTGTCCAGGTTAGTCTCTAGTTTTGCTCTGAAATTAATAAACTTTTTGCATTTTTTTCTGTCTGTCTGTGTTTGCACGCGTTTCTTTGCACACCAAGTGTATGTTCGCTTCAAGGTGGAGCCAGAGAACACCACTGTCTACCAGGGACACACTGCTGTTTTGCACTGCCAGGCCAGCGGGGACCCCGAGCCTCACATCCACTGGATGGTGAAAGACAAGACCCTGGATATCACTAAGAACGGCAGGTAAATGAGAAACGGGACCAAACGGATGTAAAGTGTGCAGAATCATTACTGCAGCTGGCTTTTAATTTAAACAGTGAAGCGACTTTAAAGTTGAACTAGATTTTTTTTGTTTTTGTTAAATTGATAGTTGAACTGATATTTATTATAAAAACCAACAATAGTTTTTTTTCTAAACAAAGAATTCTACAAATATAATATTTTTTTTCCTCTTTATAGGATTTGACTGCCCAAAATTTAGCTTTAATAAGAAAAACAAGATAAATAATTTATTTTCCAGAACAGCAACATCCTTCCTACTGTCAGTCTTAGTTGAGTCCCATCAACCTGCCTTATTTCTATTCTTGCTTCCTTCCCTTCTCATTTCTTTCCTCTGTCCTCCTTCCTTTATTCCCTTTTGTCTCAAGGATCAATTCCGCCCTTTGTTCCCTTCATGTTCTTCTCGCCTTATTTTAGTCCTTCTTTCTTTATTTTTTTTGTGATCCACCTCTCGTGTCCTTCCTCCTTTGTGTCCTCCTGTCCTTGCTTCTTTAAATCCATGTGAACAACATACATTTATTCATTCATCCTTTTCTTCCTCTATCCTCCATCCATGTTTCCTCTTTATTGACCTTTTCCTGTGTCCCACTATGTGTTGAAATTTTCTGGTTTATAGAGTTTTACACCTCTGCTAATCAAAGTGATCAATTGGTTGGAAGTTAAAGTACAACTACCAGTTAAAAAGTATAGTTTAAGAGAGAGAAGACAGAAGTTTCAGTAAGTAGGTCTTGAAAACGGCATTTTACTCTGTTTTTGTTCTCCAGAATCCAGAAGATGCCCAACGGCTCGCTGATAATAAGAGAAATCACCACTGAGGACACGGGTCGCTACACATGTGTGGCTGGGAACAGCTGCAGCATCAAAGACCGTGTGGCTCAGCTCTACGTAGTGGGTAGGTTTAACTCTCTATCCCCCCCCCCCCCACACGCACAGAGAGGCGTGCTTTCAAAGATCTTCTTTATCAGGGACAAAGGTGCACACGTGGAGCGGTGAGCCACAATCGCAGGAGCAAAGAGAAGGCATTAATTAAACCTCCACCCGTCTGTCCATCACCCATGGCGACAGGTTAATAACCGGCTCCACGTCTCTGATACCATGGCTGTCACAGGGGTGAAGGGATAGGGTAGATGCTGGATCTAATAAAGCTTCAGACTCAGACGTCGTTAAAATTACATATTATAACTCTCATGTGCCGCCTGCTAACCTGAACAGAGAGACTGGATTTTTTTGTTTGTGTTTGTGTGACGAACCTAACAGTAACACGATCATTTTAATCTGTTTAGCTCTGAAGGACTTTATATTTCCTGTAGAACATATGTTTGCAGCATCCATCAGGCTTTTAAATCCCTAAACCACCTGGAAAAGGGTTTCACATATTTCTTCACTGTTCTTCATCCTGCAGACAAATTATTTCCCCTCCATCACGAGGACAACGACGATGACAAGGCTGCTTATAAGATGATCCAAACCATCGGGTTGTCCGTGGGGGCGGCGGTGGCCTACATCATTGTGGTGCTGGGACTCATGTTCTACTGCAAAAAGAGACGCAACGCCAAGAGACTGCAGAAGAACCAGGATGGAGAGGAGCCTGAGATGGAGTGTCTTAATGGTAGGAAGCTGTCCCTGCACTCGGGAAGTTAGTGTCTGGATTGGAAATGCACATCAATAAGCTTCTGTTGGAGAAATGAGCCCAAAGCATCATGGATCCTCTACCGTTCCAAACAGAATGAAGTGATTATTTCAAATCATAGCTACAATAAACCAGAAGCACAAGATGTCAGTTCTCCAACAGTATATTGTATTGCACTTTTTTTTTCTCACATCTCTTACCATCCTTCTTACTGTAAGGTGGCTTTTCTTTTAATAATAGTTCTGCCCCGTGGGGATGCACAAGTTTAGACAAGTTACTATTGTTTTACTTATAAGGATCATCACTGCCTTACTTGAATCGCATTTCCTCGAGTCTTTCCCATTTTGATCAGCAGCTAAATTAGCACTTTAGTCAGTTATTGTACCATTTGTAGTATAAAAAGCATTACTTTTAGAAGTCCGATTCACCGGGACAACGTTAAACTCTCAGTGATATGGTTGGATTTTTACTTCTGCAGATTGAACCTTAATTTTTAACTGTTTAGTTCATTGGAGCATCGATTAAATCGACTTATTTAAAAGGATTTAAAGCATTTATTGTGTGAGGTTAAATATGCAATTACACCTATCTTTTAACTGGTCTAATAAAGTTGCCGATTTTATGATGTTTAAGCTTTACATTCAGAGTAGTATTGTTAAAACTTATTGTTTATTAATTCGTAAAGCTTTTTTTGTATTATTATTATTATATAGATCAAATCACCCATCCATATGATACCCTACAACAGGGGTACCCAAACTTTTTCCTGTGAAGGCCACATAACTTTTCCCCTCTCTGATGGGGGGCCGGGATCAGTTTGTAACAGAAAAATTGAGACGATTGCAAGAGTGCCTTAACGTAAAAAATTTAGTCTTCCAGAAAGTACAATCAAAGAACAAAGCAAATCAAAGAACAGAGCAAAAGTCAGGAAATAAATAACACTATTTATTAAATAAATAATAACCAAATAACACTCTCTGGGTCCATTGAACATAAACTTTCTGTTGTGCTGTGCACAATCTTAACAGGTCCAAGTTCAGCTTAGTTGTCAGAATCTCTTACTTAAATGTCTGATATGAGCAGGCTCTCAAAGTTCTTGTATTCCTTTCTTATAATCTTTTTGTAGGTTCAAATAGATTGTGGACATCACTGTTTGCTTGTTTTGTGGGTTTCACAGGGAAGTTGATGAGAGAGAGAGCTGCAGACTAAGAAGCTGAACTAAGTGATACAGCACCTACACAGCACAACCACTACCAGTATGGTTATGGAGATGGATTTTATCCCAGTAGATTTTATTATGATTATATTTTTATACTCAGAATGACTCATTCAAATCAGAAAAGTGATCTTACTTTTATATGTTCATCAGTGTGAACTGTGCGCCTGCATCTGGCTGGTGAGAAGTTGAATGTCAGGTTCCATTTTGGTCACTGCCAGTCTCAAACACTGATGCAGATGTTCATCTGTCAATCTTGAATTTATTGAAGTTTTCAGCAGTTTCATCCGTAAAAAGGTTTGCTTGCAGATATACAGTACGTGCTGCCAAAAAGTGTTGATTGCGCTGATAGATTTCTGAGAAAAAAGTCAGAATTCTGGCATTAAAATCAGAATTCTGAGAAAAAGGTCAGAATTGAATAGACTATTATTTTTATTTTTTTAAATGGCCCTAATCCTCTTCCATATCTCTTTGAGAGGGGCGGGTTTAATATTTTTTGTTGGGGGTCACCAGTTAGGGGGACAGACCCCAAAAGTGTGGAACATTGTCACGTTATATGTGTGTATCAAATATTTACTAATAGTTAATAATGAAAAACTTCATAATTAAGGAACATTTTATTGGAAATGTCCAACTTTATTATCAAATACAAAAAAGATAAAAAAAAAACAAAAAAAAAACACTTATATGAAAATATCTCTGGTATTGTTCAGGGGGCCGGGGCAAATGTGGAAGCGGGCCGAATCCGGCCTGTGGGCCATAGTTTGGGTACCACTGCCCTACAAGGAAAACTAAAGATCATTGACTGAATGAAAAATACAGTAAATGATTCTGATAGTAAAAGATTTTATCAGAAACATTTGTTCCTTAGCATCAACTTTATTTCATCATAAATATGTTAAGATTAAACACTGCAGTTTTCTAAAAAGTTTAATGCAAGACTATATTGATGTAGTTTTGAAGAAAAAAAAAATTGTTCTTCATGTTAAAAATGTGTTATTTGCTGCCACCTAGTGTTTGTTTTGGGTATAGTTGGTATCATGCTTGGTGACAGTATGTGTTAATCTTCACCTTACATTTCTAACCCACTGTGTTGTGTTCATCAGGAGGTGCTGTTCAGCAGAATGGCCACACCACGGCTGAGATCCAGGAGGAAGTGGCGCTCACCAGTGTGGGTACCGTCACCGCAACCGAGAAGCGGCACAGCCACGCCAGCGATAAGCTCCACTTCCCTCGTGCAAACCTCCAAACCATCACAACGCTTGGTAGGATTTTTCTGTTGTAGATATCATAGCAGAATAGAAAGTATGTTACTGTGCATCTGTTCTGATGTGTGTTTGGTGGATGTTTGATCAGGTAAAGGCGAGTTCGGCGAGGTGCTGCTGTCCAAAGCTAAAGGCATTGAAGAAAGTGACGCTGAGACGGTGGTTCTGGTGAAGTGTCTGCAGTCCAGAGACGAGCAGCTGCAGAGCGACTTCAGACGTGAAGCTGAAATGTTCGGCAAGCTGAACCACCCTAATGTGGTTCGCCTGCTGGGCGTCTGCAGAGAGGCTGAGCCGCACTACATGATCCTGGAGTACTATGACCTGGTACGCACACGGGAGCTGAGCCAAAGAAACAAACATTTTACACTTTTTTTGCCATATTTCCCTTTTGGGTCAATTTTAATTCATTTTTTCTTTTTTGCTGACAGGGTGATCTAAAGCAGTTCCTAAAAATATCAAAAAGCAAAGACGATAAAGCGAAGCCTCAGACAATCAGCACCAAGACCAAGGTAGGTCCTCCATGTTTAATAAGTGACAGATTCTACTCTAGAGCCGCTTTTAAAGGGTATTTTTGGCATTTAAAGACATTTTTATTTCAATCTGGGCCAGATGTTTTTTTCCGGATGGATTAAATACAGGAAATTATATTATTTACTTTCAGATGAATTGTCTGAGAGTCAGTTGCTTGGAAGTCTAGTATATTATCACCCTAAACAGTGATTTAAAAACAGTCATCACTGCTCCTGAAAAGTATGGAGAAGAACAGGAAGAAATGGACCAATAATAGTAGAAAAGTTTTGAATCTGCATATTTTATTTAACTATGTAAAGATAATAGCTAAAATTATCAATCTAAGTCATTTTGTTTATCAAGTTACCTCCAGATAAAAACACCTCATTAATAACAGTCAGTTCATTCCTTTTGTTTTGTGCTTTAAAACCTTTTTAACTGTTAGATTTCAAAGCAATTGTTTAGGCTAAGATCCCAAACATAGCACTGGTACTCGTCAGCTGAATTTTGACATTACTATTACTATAAACTGATTTAAAAACCTCTGTCATTAAAAATTCAGAATTCAGATTTTTATTTTTGACTAATCTAAAGTTGCCCTGATAATATCAACCTGAAACCAGCATCAGCAGCCCATTTCCAAATTTCTTAAACTCTAAGGGCAATAAAACCTGAACCTTTAAACCTTTAATTCAGCTTTAAACATTATCCATAACCTTGTTGCAAGAAAATAAATCCTGCATAGCGTGACCTCTGAGGAAAAGTAAGAGACCCAGCCTCATCTTTACTTAAGTAGCCAGAAGTAAACTATAAATCCCTTTAGAAGAGATTTCAAACTAGTCATGTATTTTTCTTACAAAAGTGGGTCGTTTTTTGAAAGATTTTTTTATAACATCTTAGCTTAGCATATTTCATTTTTTTCAAATATGCTGCCAAAGACTGAAAGCGATATTTAAGAATAATGATCTGTTTTCAAAAACTGTAAAACAGGATATTTAAATTATTTTTTAACTCTGCTGAGATTTAAAGGCTTCCAGGGTATAGAACATGATGAAATATGCTCTTTAAACATCATTAAAACGGATGTCTTTTTGCTGCGGTTACCCGTTTTACTAAAAAGATGTCATTATTTCAGGGCAGTACCCCCCATCAGGTTATTAATGTTTAATAATCAAAAAAAGAAAACCTGATGTATGTAGTGTTTTATGAACGTTACTTTATACGCTTCTGCTTTGCCACTTCTCCTTCCTCCAGGTGTCCCTCTGTGCCCAGGTGGCTCGCGGCATGGAGCATCTGTCCAATCACCGCTTTGTTCACAAGGACCTGGCTGCCAGAAACTGTCTGATCAACAGTCAGAGGCGGGTCAAAGTGTCTTCGCTCAGCCTGAGCAAGGACGTCTACAACAGGTCTGTTATTAACTTAGAGGGTCTGTAACAACTATACGGCTGCAGCTGAATAAGTTAAAAATATCTTAGAAAAGTTCATTTATTTCCAGTTTAAAAAAAAAATACTATAAACAATAAAAATACGGAAAAATCAGTCCACTGGGAAGCAATCTCATCTACCGCCATAACGTCTGTCAGCAGAAGGAAGCATGAAGAGCTATAAAGTCTGCTGGTAAATCACTGGACTGAATTTAGGACTTGATAAAACATAGTAGAGCAACACCAGCAGACATGGAAACATCAAACCAGACCTGAAGGAGCCTAGATTCTGTCCCTGTTCAATTTTCCTGCATAATTATCTCTTGTCCGCCTGTGGCTCAAACGAGTAATGCACTACCTGTAGCCCATCTCCTTTAAGCTTTGAGGGAAAATAAATCTCACACCTTATAAATCTCTTTCAAACTCTACACTGTAAAAGCAATCAAAAAAAGAATGTCTTAAAATAAGTGAATTTACTCTTAATTATAGCAGGTATGTAAGATAATCTGCTATTTTTTATTACCCTTAAAATAAGATATCACGCTCTTAGAATAAGAGACTGCAGTTTTTCTTATTTTAAATGCAATTTTTTTTCCATTGTCAAAGTGTCCAACTTAATTGCTCAATTCAAGAAAAATGTCAGTTTTTTACCTTGTATAATGCATGAAATCCACATCAAGGCTGCGTGTTCGCTCTTGCTTGTGCATTATTTTCCACCCCGGTTTTTCCTCCCACTAAATTTCCCATGAACACATGTGGAACCAACACTAGATGAACAACCTCCTTCTGTTAGAATGTTTTTTTGTTTTTTTTTTTGTAATTCATCCTCTTTAAGTGTGTTAATGATCACCTCTCTGTGGTGCAGCTTTTAAATCAGCAGTCTGCCCTGTGAATGTGTCGACATTCACGGAACAGAGTGGATTCAGACAGCTCTTTTGTTTTTAAGCTTTTGTAGAATAATTGAAGTTTATAGAGAAAACGCTTTGAATGCACCCCTGTGTGTGTATGTTAAGTTTTAGGTTGTACTCTAAAAATTGTAAATGGCTTATACTTTTTATAGCCCTTTTTCAAGTGAGAAAAATCGCTATTTAAGTATACTTTACCAAAGCTCTTTACACTACATTCAGTCACACACTGATGGGGGCACGCTACATTATAGCCACAGCTGCCCTGGTGCTCACTGACAGTAGGAGGCTGCCGTACACTGGTGCCACCAGTCCCTCTGACCAAAATCAGTAGGAAATGCAGGTGAAGTGTCTCGTCCAAGGACACAATGACACTGAAAGCCGGGGCTTGAACCGACAACCCTCTCGTTGCAGGGAAAACTACTTCATCCGATGCCACTGCCGCCCCTATAAGATCTAAAAATCATTGTTTGTACTGAAGAAGAGGGAAAAAATAAGATATTTCCGTTATATAATTTATTGAGAGGCATTTGTAATCCTGTGTAATAGATCTGAAACGGCCAAATAGCAAAAGGTGTCGCTCATGTTTGCTGTTCCTCTGTCTCCTCTGTCCTGTGAACATAGTGAGTACTACCACTACAGGCAGGCGTGGATCCCTTTGCGCTGGCTGCCAACAGAGTCTGTGTTCGAGGATGAATACTCCACCAAGTCGGACGTGTGGGCCTTCGGAGTGCTGATGTGGGAGGTTTTCAGTCTGGGTGAAATGCCGCACAGCAAACTGAGTGACGACGAGGTCCTGGAAGGTAGGCTGATCCTTTTTCTTAGGTTTTTCTAATTCTTCCAGTTCTTAGCCGCCAGACTTCTCCCAGGAATCTTGTCGTTATGTTTGTCATGTTTTACTTCCAGGTCTGAAGATGGGAAAACTGAAGCTTCCTGCTCCGGATGGATGCCCCTCTAAAATCTACAAGCTCATGGTCCGCTGCTGGATGCCGAGCCTCAAAGAGCGCCCCTCTTTCACCGACATCGTCCACGCCCTGGGAGATCAGCCCTCTGACAGCAAAGTCTGAGAGGATCTTCTGCCACCACAGGAGGGAAAAAGAACTTTGAACCATTCTTCCCTCTGAAGTATACATGCTGGATTACTAGTCTCACTCATTTCAGGGACGAGGGTTGAAGAGAGAACACGTTTTTTAAATTTCACTTGATGGTGTGAACTTGACTTAAAGTCTGAGACTGCAGCTGCTCAGACCTCAGTGCCTCAACACCATTTTATAATCTCACCTTAGCTCTCTGCTGCCACCCTGTGGGGGTGGTAGGAACAGCGCTCTGCTCCGATCGGTGCGGATGTCTCCTGAAACTAAGATGGTCTGTGGAATGAGATCTGGCTCTATCAATTTAAGATTATTCATCTTAAGAGGTTTCCTACACAGGCTGGAGAAATACTTATATTTCAAGACTTCATTTCTGCTGTCTGGATGCATCCTTCTGTCCCCCCTTATCTGTGTCTTTCCTTCCTAATTTGCCTATATCTTTTTTTTTCTTTCTTAATTGTTCCTTTCCTTACTTCATGTCCTATTGTTCTTCCTTGTGCCCTCAGTTCAAATTTTCTGTCTAATCTTTCCTTGTTTCCTCATTTTCCAGGTTTATTTCTCCTTCAGTATTTCTCTCTTTCCATGTCTTCCTTTGTTTCATCCTAATTTCTTTCCTCTACATTAATTTCTTCCTTCTGTCCCATCATCTTTGTCCTTCCTCCATTCTTCCCTGGCGCTCTTTGCTCTTTCCTTCAAACCTGTGTTCATCCCTTGCCTCCTTATCTCCTCCCACAGTTCTTCCTTATTCCCTCATCCTTCCCTCCTGTCTTTTTGTCCTCGCTTCATTCTTACCTTCCTTTCCTACCGTCCAGTTTAAATCCTGCCCTACTCTATAAATATCCGCCATAAGTTCAAAATGAATGTTTTTCATATTTTAAAATAACCTCAAAGGAGTTAGGAAGGCTCGGTCTTGGAAAGTTTTTTTCAGAAATCACGTGTAGGATTCCTGTCCTCAATATTTGCTCCTTCAACCTTTGAGTGGACTTGTACTAATGCCAAACTCTTTCAAAAACATGCGGCTGAAAGAAGAGACCTAAAAAGGTTTTGCATGAAGGTTCACAATCTGTTACACTTCTGATATAAAACATAATCTGGTTATACTTCAGGAATAAATTGTAAAAAAAAGTTTTTTTCTAGCCAAGAATTTATATTGAAAGGATAAGTGAATATTGTGTTAACTTCAAGGTGCTTATTTTGTCACAGTTGTAGGGATTAAACCTATCTCCATGTTAATTGTGCAACAGAACATCAATAGAGGTCCAATCACATTTTTAAAATCTTCGACCATCAGACAAAGTGTACATAATGTAGAAGCCATGCACTAACTTCACTTAAAAATACCCCCTTTCTCTGTATAGAAGGATGCACAGGTACCTGTTTATTTATGATGAAGGTCCTGTTTTTTGTTTTGTTTTTTACTGTTTGTAATTGGTACTTAACTTTACTATGCTGTTTTTTATGTTACCTGCTCCATCTCAGTATGTATTCAGTCTGCATCCTAACTGAATATCCTAACAGTCGGTATAAGGAGGTCAAAAACGTGGCTACAGATCGCCTGGACTCATCTAAGTGCCTAGTAAATGAAGGATTATCCTAACATTACCCCTTTTTTACATTATCTAATCAAAGGCAAAGACGTTTATCAGCTTGTTTTTTTTTTATCTTTTTGGTGTAATTTGTTTTTTTGTTTTTATAAATGCTAGGCACTCAGACCTAGACCTCCTTTTTTATTCGTCTTTCTTTTTTTTTCTTTTTTTTATCAGCTTGAGCAAATGTTAACCCTAATCAGATATATTCAGAACTATACATGCTGCTGTCAATAAAGGTTCACAGTGTTTTTAATAAGTGTGTTCTTTTTCTTTTAAAGTTATTTCAATTTCCATGTTTGGGTTTTAAAACCAGTCTTTTGATTTCAAATTCAGACGATGTGGAGGGAGTAACTTTATGTGGAAAGGTAAAACACAAGATACGAAAGAATTCCCCAACTTTGTCGATTTAGTTTATATATCCTAAAAGGAGCAGGAGGAAGTTTGTAGTTTATTTTGTTACCATTAGATTATTTAATGAATCAAATTGTGTTTTCTGCATGTGTGTGCATGGTTGTTAGTCCTGTGTCTTCGTTGACCTGCAATGACCTGATGACCCGCTCCGGCTGTCCCCTGTCTCGTCCAGCAACCCCTGCATGAATAGACACATGCAGACAAAGGTGATGGATCATTTATTTCACTTAACATCTTCTATATCTCATAAATGTTTTAAAATGCCCAGTTTAGAATACAGTTTCACTTACAGCCTCCATACTGAGCAGCATTTTCAGGGTGTAGATATAAGTGTTTGGACAAAGGTTGAATTGTTTAATAAGTGACCAACATTGGGTTGGTTTTTACCAAAGTTCATTGAAACAAACTGATGCAGCATCCTAACGGCTAACATAATTTACCATACAGATAATAAATGGAGATTAATAAAGAGGGATTAAAAATGTGCCCTGTGATTGGAGACCTGTGAGGTTGTATCCTGCCTTTCTCTCATACTGCTGCAGAAAGGCACAGTAGTCATGACAATGACAAACAAGTACTAGATGATGCATTGATGGAGATTTAAAACATATGTTCTTCAAATCTGGATCTTAAAATCGATCAGAGTCCCCTGATTTTATATTCAAAAGAAGAGTGTTTGGGACTCTGGAGGCCGCTGAAATGAAAGACTTTGCTTCTCAACTTGCTTTGAGGCAATATAAGAAAGTCTAGATCAAAGACCTCTACGTCTAAGAACAAACACAAAAAAATAATACCAAGTTGAATAAGTAAAGCATGAATATCTGCATAAATTCATACTAAATTTGCACATTTTAAAATACATAGGATTCTAGAGAGAAGAGTCTTAAAAAAAAGCATACATTTTGTGGAAAATGAATATGCAGGACGCCTGCTTTTTTGGTTTGGTGTGAAGTGAGGGTATATTTCTCTTGCTCTGAGGTGGCTTTTGTTTGCCTCTATCAAGGTGTACAATTTGGAAAATCTATGAAACAATCCCTCTACCTCTGTATTGTTAGAAATTTGCAGAAGGCGTTCGGCTGGTTATTATTATAATGTAGTCTTTATGGTTAATATTATATTTACTACAGAAATATGTGGAAAATGAAACGTGACTCCAAAGAGCTGCATTTTTGGTCTTTCATCCATTTTGGTTGAATAAGTGTTAATACCTCAGCTGAATAAAAGCATTATTTTGAATTTCTTACTGGATGTTTAGAGTAGTTAATGATTGTGAACCTTGTCATATTATAAATCTTTGGTTTAACTGATTTCAGGTGTAATTTCTGTAAAAGCTTGCTGGAAATTACCCCCATTGACCACTAGGGGGTGGTGTATCCTATTTATAAAGATCAGGGGCAAGACTTGATTTATGAGGTTATTTTATACATATTTTATTATTTTTAGAAGTGAAAGCATAACCTCTAAACAATGGACTGCACATACTGTTCTTAAGGCTATTTTAGGTCACTGTGTCGCTGTGCTTAGAAAAACGCATTGAAGAAAGGCCAGATGTCCTGTCCAAATTTAGCCTAAACAAAAAGGTAGAGGGTTAGTCTTGTTTTACATTTCTGGATGACAACTAAACAATAAACTTATTTTCCCTCTTTTAACAGATTTTGCTTGGAAGGTAACATTGATCTAATCTAAGTAATTGTTTGATACTTTAATAACTGAAAAGTAATTTCCCATATTTATATTGTATATCTAGAAAATAATCTTTCATCCTGTTGTCTTTGGACATATAAGCATTTGAGTTAATGTGGTAATGAAAGCTTCCTCCTTACACTTTATACCCCTAGAAAGTCCTAAAGTAGAAAGTGTTTCAAAAAATATCATTAGCACTTGTTCTAACCTGCCTGCTGGAAGAAGGACGAGGGAGGGGAATCCATACATTAACCGTTATAGTGCCTCATAGCAAAATTTTGTGTAACCACCATTTCTCATGTTAGGGTGTTTTGTTCATAGAGCCATGACTTGCATTCATTTAACAGTTTGCTGTTGCTGTCACTTCAATGCAGCATTCTTACTTTGTGGTAATGGACTTAAATAATAAACACCCCCAGGACTTCCTGCTATTACTAAAGTCTGTGATTTGAACAAATCCTTTTATACTATCTTTGCAGGTTTTTTTCTTTTTACTATTACATTGTAATTATTACTTTAATATCCTGTTTTTAAAAAGAAAGGTGCTTTTGGATCTACCTGACCGATGGAGCTTTAGCTTTTTAAGTTATAGTTGTTGAAATGTGTCGTGAGAGCGTCACACTGACACCTGTGATAAAGGTGTGTAAAATAACTGTAAAATAATGGCAGCTCTCTAAAGACAAACTGCAGACTCCAGCTCTCAGTCTAAGTACATTTATTTTAAAAAATAAATTAAAAATTTAAAAGTTAAGAAATTATAGTTTTATTAGGGCTGAAACAATTAATTGGATTAATTGTGATTGATCATTTATCGAAATAATTGTCAACTAATGTAATGATTGATTAATCATTAACTTGAGTGTAGAGACTCTAAAACATGCATTTAGCTGACAGAGCAACCCACTTAGAGCAGTAATTATTTTTAAAAATGGAAGGAAATATATAAGGTTTTGCTCTTAAGATTAAAAAAAAAGTTTTCATCTTTCAATATGCTCTACCCAGAACTCCAAAAGTGGAAAAGTTTTAGTTTCTCCTGGTTTAATTTAGTTAGAAATCTTTGGAAACCATCGGCTATCTGATTAAGTGAAAAAATAATCGACAGATTAATTGATTTGCAGAACAATCATTACTTCCAGCACTAGATGTATAATATTTCTTGGTACCTCAGGCAAATTATTATGGTAACTGAAGCATAGAAACTTCAAATAAAACTATTATTTTATCAACAAAAGCTCAGGATGGCTTTCAGCTGGCAAGACACACTTCACAAATACTGCTTTGTAAAGTGGAAGATCTGTCATGCTGTGGGCCTTCATCACTTAAGGAGTATAGTAGATGAACAGAAATAAGGTTTATACTTTTTTTTATTTGCATTATGTTAAGTTTAAACAAATACTAACCACAACATTTAGAGCTTTTGTTGATTTGCATCGCCCATCCACAGATCTTCAACAACATAACCTACTTTGCAAACACAAATGCTGTCCTCAATTCTTTGACATTTGTCTTATGACTGACAACAGTTAAAAACGCTTAAAAATGATTTTCTGTTGTGATTCCCCAATGTATAAACATACCCAGAAATCTATATGTTTTGACATACTTCCTGTAAAATTTCCATTGGAAAAAAAGAGAAATTTGGATCATTTGATGTCAAACTGACTATATATATTTATATATATTTATATAATATTAAAAAACACATTTCCAGAAAAATTTGTCATTATTCAGTGGACTTTGGGCTTTTTTTTAAATAGCTGTTTCAGAAGCTACTTAAGTGTGTTAATTCACTGCCTTTATGAAAAGGGAAATTAAATGTAACCTCTTCTTAATCTAACCATGGCATAAGTGGTGCTATAACTACCTTTACAAACCAGACTGTTTTCCTGGAATCAAGATGAATAGAAATGAGTGGCTGTAGAGTCTAGAGTCTAGACTAAGGGTCTGTAACCTGCAGCTCCAGAGCAACATGTGGCTCTTGAAGATTTCAGCACCGGCTCTTTAAAGCTCTGATGGGGAAAAAAGGCTGGTTCAACTATTTCCCTCATGTTTCCATATAATGTTTGCAAAACTTTCCTATAATGCCCTTCTGTTTAATTTTTATTTTGTAATTAGGCTGTAAATTACATGTTATTTTTTTCATTTTCTATAATTATGGTGCATTTCATTCATTGTATTTAATTGTATTTTTTTCAAAGTTTGACTTTTTCCCTAGAAATCAGATATGTTTTAATGCTTTAATTCAACTATAAAAAACCTAGTTTACTCAGTAGACTTAGACAACCTTTATCGTCATACAATGCCGTTATACAAAACAAAATTTCGTTTAGTACAGCTGTTCAGAAAGTTGAACATTTCCATATATAAAGTGCAGCAGAGCTCAAATGTAAACAGTAAGGGAGAAAAAAAAATGGTGCAAAAAACGCATTGATATAGAAGTTCAGAGTATTAATATATACGGTGCAAATATGCAGTATTTTTGATTTGGTGTTAGTACATAAAACTAACATAGGATCACATAGTACTATTACATCTTTAGAAAAACATTGTTTGTAAGACAAAGGGTAAAATGTCTCTTAGGAATGCAAAAGTTGGTGAACCCTGCTCTAGAGTTTAGTATAGCATTAATATCCTGAGGGCCTCCAACCACCAGCAGGGGGCACTCGAGAGTAACTGAATTCCATCCTTCAGTTGTCTTCTACAAATTATCATTATATAATCATGGAGGGACTCTTTCCTGTCCCCAGCGGTCAGTGGGTTAATCTAACAGTGTTGTTTGTTGATTGAGGGAGAAAGCTATAGTACTCAGAGAGGGCCTTCCTATTCACATGGAGAACATGCAATCTCTTTTTTTGCCAGTATGTTCAAATCACAGCAGAACTTACAGCTCTGTAGCCATTAGGTACAAGGTAAGTCATTTTGTCTTAGTTGTGACTGTTTTAGATGTGAATTTATTTTGGATCTAGTTGAATATTAAAGCTATGGATCAGATTGTCAAGGAAAACAATCAGCAGTATGGAGGAAGGATCATTTATGTAGCTTAAAAATATGAACCTATTGGAAAGCAATACCTCTAAACCTAACCTTAGACCACTGGCATGTCAGGTGTACTAACAGCTTTCAATTTATTTTAGAGATTGAATTAAAATACTATGCCACATTCAGACCAGGCATAGTATCTACAGCTTGTTAAGTCATTTTTTATGGTTAACAATGTTTCTATAGAGGATGCCAACCTTATAATTAAAAATACAAAGACCAATGAATAATATCTTAATCCTGAATAGTATATATTAAACTGGCATGGCTAAAAATAACTAATGTTGGTTGGATACTCCAATTGAATCTAATCCAGGTAGATCATGATCTCCAAAAAAAAATATAAAAAAATAAAAATCCAGCCCTGGTAGTGGCTCAGTGGCTGTATGAGATAAAACTTCCCAATTTAGTTATGCCACCTAAAATCTTTGCATTATTTTAAAATTTCATCCTTTCACTAAACTTTCCATTACATAGGAAAGCCGACAGTTCTCTGTGAACAGCAAGCTTCTTCAGAAATATTATTATTATTATAGTAGGAATCAATGTCAATAGTCCAATTGGGATTAAAACATAATTAGCACATATTTTCTAGACCTGATTAAGGTAGTTTGTATAGCCAATACGGAATATAAAATTTAATTATTGTATATTTTTTTGTATGAGTGCGATTATTTTGGTCCCCTTCTCTACGGTGACGTTGACATTAGCGCAACCATGTTGGTATTTATTCTAATGAGGATGCCAAATCGACCAATCACAGCGCTATTCAGATAATCCTCAACCAATCAATGGGGAAAGCTGTGACTCACCAAATAAGGAGAGACAGCACCAAATAAGGAAACGTATCTCTTTATAAGGAGGGAAGTAGTTCCCCGGTTCTTATATCACTCCGCTGCTAATTGCGGTATTTTAAAGATAGGTGGTTACGTTCCCCTCTGGACTATGAGTAAATGGGAATTTACATGAAACAAATATAGAATGTGTTATATGTGCTCTACTTAGTTGGTGCAAATTAGTTTTTTCTACATTTTTGAAGCGTGGATTATTTGACGTGGCGCATTGATATGTGGGGTGTTGTGCGTGCTTTCCTTTTTGAGAAAGTGCTCGGAGTTTTGGAAATAGAGGAGGAGGGTGAGCCTTACTGAGCCGGGATTTTACGGGTGTTGGGGGCAGCATCACTTTGTGAAGTTTACACCGGTTATTTCCTGGGCTCCGCAATCTGTTGTCTGAGCCGGTTTGTTTACATTCAGTAGTCCTGACGTGTATTTACGGTTCGACACGCTCCAGCTTCTTTGGCTGGCGTTCAGAGACTTGCTCCTGTGAGTATAATGTTACCCAGTCAGGTCGGGTCGGCACCATCTGGAAACGGGTCGGCATCGGTCAGGACTGCGACAGGACACGGACCGGGGATTCGTCCCGTTTTTGTCCGAGCGGGGCAAGCCTTAGCGGGTATCGGTGAGAGCGGCGGAGCTGCAGGGCGGCAGGCGGAGAGGGAGGCTGCTGGGATGCTTGGGGCAAACGGGCCAGGAGGCTCCAGAGGGGCGAGACCAGGAAACGGGACTGGGCTGAACCCCCTGCAGACAGCCGTCCAAGGCGGCATTGTGGGGTTAAACACCGGGGTGGTTCTGCCCCACGGAGCCCGCTTCGACCCGGACCGAGACGGCGCTCCTCTCTGCAGCGGCTCGGACAATGATTCTGATTCCGCAGACGAGGATGACCCGGTGGGGTCACTCGGGGACAGCCGGAGAGGGGTGAAGCGGGAGAGGGGGGAGATGGAAGGGGCGGCGGCGGGGCAGGAGCTGGGAGTACCCCCCGGAGGGTACGGCATGGTGACCGGTGGAGTTGCCGGGGCAAAGCCGGGAAAGAAGACACGTGGGCGGGTAAAAATAAAGATGGAATTTATCGATAACAAGTTGAGACGCTACACCACGTTCAGCAAGAGGAAGACTGGTATTATGAAAAAGGTAAGTCAGTCTCACCCAGAGGTTTAAGTTATGTCGTCAGGCTGGGTTCCCAGTGATTCTTTTCCAGGTCTCCCCAAAAGTTCTATCTGTACTTTAACTAGGCCATTCCTGTTGGCCATTATTATTATTTGGCAAATTGATGTCAATGACATTGTAATAAAGATTCAGCCTCAAACTGATTGTCCTGTGGATCCGTTTATCCAAAACCCCTTCCTCTGCAGGGAGAGAAAACGATTGATGCAACCAACACAAGGTGTCACAGTCAGGGGCATAGCCAGAATTTTTTTTATAAGGGTGGCCAGGCAATAAACACTGAGCGGTGGCCGAAAGTGGATCAGAACCTCTGGGTCAATCTACACTGTTCTAACAGGAAAACATTTTTTCTAAATAAAGACAAATGATCCTTTCCTACAGCCTTTGCTAACAAATAGACGCATATATTTAAACATTTTCCTAGATAAAGGTATAGTGGATACAATTCTTTCAGGTTTGAATTCTGGGGTGAACATCTTTTCCTTTATTAGTTACTTTTGTCAATAATCATTCTGCAAAATAATTATATTTACAAGTACTAATATCTACATAAATGTAATATTTATTACATTTTTATTAAAATAGTTGACTGATTTCATTGAATACTCCTATATGACTTGCAGAGACTAATGATATTCTCTTTACCCCATATAACACGAAATCTTGTTCTGAAAAGAGCATGAATTCTGTATTTATCATCTTTAATGTCAGTATATTGATGTGCATAATAATCACAGTATTTTTGTTGTCAAGTAAATGTTAATAAAGGAAAAATTGAAATATTTTGAATCCTTAACTTGAGAGTATTACTGTTGCCACCATCTGTATTAGAGGGAAATAACTGATTGACTGAGGGTGGCCATTGCTACCCCTGGCTCCCCATCTAGCTCCGCCCCTGGTCACAGTGGGCACAATGTGTTGGTGTCTTATAGCTGCGTAAAGAAGAGAGAATTGTGTACTTTTTAAGGCTTTAAAGTTGTTTATGTCCCCCACACCTCCTCCTTTTCTGCACTTGCATATTTTTTTTGCAGCTCATCCAGACTGGGTATCTTGGCTGCTTGATTGGTCTGCTTGCCCAGGCTGTCCGCTCAGGTGGACAACCGTGTCTAAGTAGGTTGGCAGTTTTTTTTTTTTTTAAATTCCATTTATCATATGATGGATTAAACACTCCTGTATCCTACATGCTGATATTTCTAAAGCACTAGTTTGTTTGTTTTAATTTTTTCGGGCGGTATCAGAATAAAATGGAATCCCTAAACAGATTTCACTTCCTTCAGAAAAAACAAACAAACAATAAACTACATTTAGTTTGTGGTTTTTATCCAACAGTTGTCCTTGCTGCACTGTCAGGCTTTCATTTAGCTAAGTGTTCATTAGTCCAGTTCTTGTGACGAAACTGTTGTCCCACAATGTGACTCAGTGTGTGCGAGGAAGTCAGAGCAGTGGACTGTAAATAGATTTGAGCCAATGACGGTTCTATTTATGACAATGCCCCCCCTCCTCCCAGCTAAACCACAGTCTGCCTCTCAGGTTTCCAAATAACCTGATGCACTCATTCATGCACATGGTCCTACACAACACACCTTCGTAGGCCTGTGTCTTCTGCAATGGAGCCTCATTCAGCTGCACGAGTTTACAGACTGTTCCCTGCATCACTGCGATGAAGAAGCCATGTGGCGGCGGGCAGCTGTAGTCCTTATATGCCAACAGCTGATTACACCTCAGGGGAAGCTGATCAGAGGTTGGTCAGAGAGCATTCATACAGGAGACTGTGCATACAGCATGGTTCCACATCCTCCTGCAGGCTTCTGCTCTCTGAGATTGCTTTTCTTGCTTTCGGTTTTGTTGGCTCAGAGCGACAAGTGACCCTGAAGATCTGAGGGTGACGCAGTTTTCTCCACGGTAAACTCCTAGTTCCTGCAGAGCAGTAGTTTTCAGAAGCGCCCACATACTTCTAGAAATTAACTGATTATCTTGGATTTTATCAGCCAATGCAATTTTTTTTTTTTTTCCCCATCTTTGTTTCTCAGACACGTCCAGGAAAATATTAATGAATCACAGATGAAACAGTTTTGAAAGTGTATTTTTGTCACTATTAAACAAAAGTGGCATCAAAGTAAACACTGTCAGTTGATTATTTTTTTTTTTTTAACAAACCAACACCTCCTCAGTTCTTGGGTTTTATTCAGTATATAAATGCAGAAGAGTTTTCGGTATTTTAACAGATTTTTACCAATTAGAGGTGTTCTTGGAAAAATTTTCCTATTTAGATTTTTAGATGTTATGTTAATATCTCAGTAAAAGTTGTTGCTCCAATATATTTTATATGCCTTTTACTAATTTAGCCCCATACATAAGTAAACCCAGCAACTGCTTAGTTCCCCACATCCAGCAGGGGCCCCTCAAGAGCACCAGCAATTAATTTACAAAAGTAATCCTTCATTTTTCTTGGAGTTAATATCCATTGCAGTCGTGCAAATAAAAGTAATCAAAATGACCCGTGGAAATGTTATAGGCTGTCAAGCCCGCCTCCCCCCCAGTCAAATAGAAATAGATCAGGTTTTGCATGATGTATTTCTGCAGTGTGCATGGTTCAGCCTATACTGCTGCAGTAGCTGTATGCTGACAGGAAATGAGCTAAGGGATGGGGGGTCATGTGGCAATGGTTGGGGGGCGTCAAAGACTGAGTCCTCCATAAATGCTGCCACTGCCATGTCTGGTTTAGTTAGACTTGCAGTTCATTTAAAGTTAAACCTAAATTCTAAGAACCGTGGTGAGGGGACTGATGGCGTATGGAAGAGCAACAAATTAAGTTGTGTTTAGGAGCCTCCAGCCGGCTCTGCTGCCACTTATTTAAAGTTCATTACTGTGGTATAATGTCTGTCATTATTTCCCTGTACAGCAGTGACAAGTGGCTTTTATTAAAATTTAAACACTTTAACCTGAATCCTCTAAGTGCCTGCACGGCTCGCTCTCTGCTTGCATTTCTTTCTGTTTCTTTATTAATGTTTTCACAGACTGTTGTCGTGGAAACTGAGGTGTCTTTATGTAGGCTCTTGGCAACATGAACACCATTTGACACAATGTGGGGAGGGATTTTATTTATTTATTTATTTTTTTTTAAAGTTGCCCACACTCATTCCAGCCTTGAAAGAAATTGACAGGTGGGTGGAGTGGGCAGATTTATAGTAGCTTGGTCTCTAACAAGGAGGAGCTCTTATTTCGCTTTGGAAGGATGCAGCGAAAGGCCCACATCTTCCCTTTGCTGTACTTTACATGATTTAGCTGTTATGCATCAAAACACGTTCATAGTACCGCTAGTAGCTCTACTAAAGAGCAAGAGTTTGGTTTTGGTTATAGCGTCCAGTATGTGTTAAGAGAATGTTGCAGTAAAGTGTGGCATTCATCTACCCCCCTTTACTTTGATATCACTCAGTCATTTTAAGTGTAAGGCACTGCCTTCAGAAGTGACCTCCATTTATGGAGGGTTTGTAGGGTCTTTGGCCATGGAGGGTGTTGGTAATTCTGGAGGAGCTGCAGAGATTTATAGCTCAGGTGGTCAACAGCACAACTATTGGTTGTACACAATGGAACTCTAGACCGTAGCGGAAAGAGATGAGCAGAATCTTTTAGTAGTCCTGTTCAGTTTGCTACTGGTTATATGGAGAAAACATCTCATAAATAAGTGAAGAAGGTACCATCAGACTGATTGAGCTGCAGAATTATGGTGGAGATATCGGCATATTCTTATTAGAAGTAAAGTCAAAGCCTATACTTAATGAAAATTTTAAGAAACTTGATCCAATAAAACTGTAGAGCCAATTTGCAACAAAGGTAGGTAAAAACCCTTTAAAGGGACATTTCCCTTGAAAAGCTAAGTGCAGGCAACTCCTCCACCCCATGATTGAGCAATAGTTGATGTGTATTTCTAATACAATGCATCTGTCTGTCTGTCTGTCTAAATTAAGGCCTTAATTGGCGTTGAAATTCATTAATGTGATTGTCATGGCGTTTAAAATGCTTTTTAAAAAAACAAATAGCTTATAAAACAATTTCATCAGATATCTTATATCACAATATATATGCGCTGAATGGCTTCCGGTTGATCGTAAAGCCGCATGGAGAAAAAGCTAGAGAACGGGAAAATGCAAATTTCAACAAAAGTGGCTTTAAAACGGGGATTTTGGGACATGGCTGCAGCCTGTAGAGGTTTTTGCTGTGTTTTATATGTATATATATATATATATATATATATATATATATATATATATATATATATATATATATATATATATATATATATCCCTGATATAATACAGCTGCAAATAAGTTTTTGAACACCAGTCTATCAGCTAGAATTCTGACCATCAAAGACCTGTTAGTCTGCCTTCAAACTGTCCACCTCCACTCCATTTATTATAGGGATGCACGATATTGGGATTTTGGCCGATATCCGATAAGCCGATATTTTAAAACTCATGTAGCCGATAACCGATATCGATACCAATGTTAAAGCTGGACAAAAATAAGTAGTCGTTGAAGATAGCAGTTTTGTTGTCCATTTCTGACACTTTGAAAAATAATATACTCAAATATATTTTCATATGCTGATATCAAATAGATTGTTAAAAACGCAGTATCGATCTATTTTACTTTCAAAATCTCGTGAAATTTCATCGTTGTTACAAACTCTCGTGATATTTTGCAAATTCTTGTGAGATTTTGTTAGTAAAATAGTTTGATACCGCGTCAATATATCAACATATAAAAATATGGCAAAATGTTTTGAATTTTCGGGGGATTTCGTAGGATAACGATGACATATAGCAATATTTCATTAGTAAAAGAGATTGATATGGTGTTTTTAGATGGCAATATATCAGCATATGAAGATATTGTGATATTTTAATGTATCAATATTTTTTCCCTCGCCTTTAGAAGTTTTTGAGGAAGAAGAAGTAGTATTTATTAATTTTTTTTAGACTTTAGAAACTCAGAAGCTGATCAAATATCGGGTTAAATATCAGTGTGGTGGCCGATGTCCGATATTCAGTTTTAAGGCCGATACAGGCCGATACCGATAGGGGGCCGATTATATCGTGCATCCCTAATTTATTATCCTAAATTAGATGCACCTGTTTGAGGTCGTTAGCTGCATAAAGACACCTGTCCACCCCATACAATCAGTACGAATCCAACTGCTAACATGGTCAAGACTAAAGAGCTGCCCAAAGACACTAGAGACTAAATAGTGCACCTCCACAAGGCTGGGAGGGGCTATGGGGAATATGCCAGGCAGCTTGATTAAAAAAGGTCCGCTGTTGGAGCAATCATTAGAAAACAGAAGAAGCTAAACATGACTGTCAATCTCCCTTGGACTGGGGCTCCATGCAAGATCTAACCTTGTGGTCTTAGTTATCCTAAGAAAGGTGAAGAATCACCCCAGAACTACACACGAAGAGCTGGTCAATGACCTGAAAAGAGCTGGAACCACCGTTTCCAAGGCTACTGTTGGTAATACACTAAGACGTCATGGTTTGAAATCATGCATAGCATGGAAGGTTCCTCTGCTTAAACCAGCACATGTCAAGGCCCATCTTAAGTTTGCCAATGACCATTTGGATGATCCAGAGGAGTCATGGGAGAAAATCATGTGGTCAGACGAGACCAAAATACAACTTTTGGTCATAATTCCACAAACCGTGTTTGGATCCCACTAATTATATATATATTGTATGAAATTGCGTTATATCAAACTGGTCCTATAGTCGCTCCATTACAGATGGAGTCATGGAACGAAAGTCATTTCGTCCGAGGATGATTGAATTATTTCTGATTATATTCCTCGTTGATGGGACAGGTGTTGTGAATGAAACGGTGCCCAGATTGAAAGAGCTCCTGTGTGTCTCTGAATGTGTGCATTTAGACTGAAAGACATCTTCTGCCTTCATTTATCTGTTTACTGCATTCTGTTGAATTCATGTTAGTGTGTATTTAAACACATTTCAATTACAACATTTCGCGACCCCCATTCAGTACCTCCGTTGACCCCCTAGGGGTCGCGGACCCCCTGTTGAAGACCTCCGTTATAGAGAATCTTTGGAGGGAGCTAAAACTTAATGTTTCTCAGCGACAGCCCAAAAACTTGACTGATCTAGAGAAGGATTTGTGTGGAGGAGTGGGCCAAAATTCCTCCTGCAGTGTGCAAACCTAGTGGAAAAACTACAAGAATTTTTTGACCTCTCTAATTGCAAACAAAGACTACTGTACTAAAAATTAACATTGATTTTCAAAGGTGTTCAAATATGTATTTGCAGCTGTATCATACAAATGGTTAAAAATGATACATGGTGATTTCTGGATTATATATATTTTTTTATATTATGTCTCTTCCAGTGGACATGCACCTACGATGACTATTTTAGACCCCTCAAGGATTTCTTAGTGGGAGAACTTGCAAAATAGCTGGGTGTTTAGATACTTATTTGTTTCACTGTATATACATGAAAGAAAGTGTTAAGTTCCAGTGTTTGAATACTTCTTCTGAGCCATATATGGATAAATAAACAGGAGTAGATAATGTTTCTGTCCCAGCAGCAGATTAACAGCACTGTGCACAGCAGAGTGCTCATGCTTCAGTAAGTTTCTTGCATCACTTTTCCTTTTTTACAGTTATTTGGGGTGGCCCATTGTGAAACGGTGATTTACCCCAAATAACTGAAAAAAGGAAAAGTGATGCAAGAAACTTGCATTATAAAAGCTAAAGAAATAACCCAAACACACTCTTGGTGTGTAAAGATACCAGAACATTTTAAGCAGTTGGATGATTGGTTTTCTCCATTTTCATTTTGTTCAGCTTGAAACCCTGCATCGTCTTTGGGATTGCCTTGTTTGTTTTAAGATGTTATGAAGACAAATTACCGCCACTAATGGATGTTTTCGTTGCTGATTACCTCGCTGTTCCTGGAAGCATGATTTTTACAAAACTGTGTAATAAGCAAATAATGAGCATGTCCTGTCAGCTCAGTTGGAGAAGCCAAAACGATAATTGTTTTTCATGAAGTTAGTGCTTTATTAAAATTTCTGTTGAGACAAAAAAATCATTTGGGAAACAGTTTTTGTTTCACATCTCTCTCTGTCTTGTGCAGCGACATAACATGGTGGATTTAAAAGAATTTTCCCCACGAATCTCTGCAGAGGTTTCTTGCTAATGCTTTTGGTTCTTGTTTGTAACTTGGTTATATTCCACCTCCAAGATCTCTCCAAAATACCCATCTGATTGCAGCAGCACATATATCATGCAACTTCTATGGTTTTGCTGTCAGACTAAATTCCCATGCTTTATTCTACTTTATTAATGCTGCAAACAAGTTCTGAGAGGCTTTATTTTTATTCTTGTTGCTTTCAAAGAAGCCTCTCATCTGATAGTCCCAGTCTGGTCTAGTCAGCCATATAAGCTGTTAGAGTGTTTGTAGATTTAGAAGGATTCTACCAAACATGAACGGAAAAAGTTTTTAGGTATGACCTAAAAATAGACAACAGATGAGAACAGGATTCCTAAAGTTTTTGCGCAGTTAAGGCATGACAACAGGTTAGAGATTTTTCAAAAGTAAAGTGATCGAACTTAACTGACAGTCAGTAAAGTCTGAACTTTACTCAGCTTGTCAGTCGGTCCGTTCCTCCATCAGTTCGTCCAGCCTCACGACTGTCCGTCCTTCAACCGCCTTTCGCTTTAGTCAACCGTCCCTCCATCGTCTTTCCCACCAGTTTGTCTGTCTGTTTTTTTAACCCAACAGCCCATCAATTTGTCCCGCCTCGTCAAGTTTTACGTCTGTCCATCTGTTTTTGAAACCAGCTGCACATCAGCTTCTTTGTCCAGTGTTTCTGCGGGTCATTAAAAATAATTAAAAGTCATAAAACAATTATTTTTTTAAATTAACCCTGTAATGCCAAATGTATTATATTTTATACATACAGTTTCTGAAATGTTTTCCGTCTGACACCTTTTGCTTAATTTAATGGTAAAAACTTTGCTCAATATCCTATTGTACACAATCAGATATACCTGATAACAGAGGGCAGAAGACTACACAAAAAATAATCTTGACTTATCGCATAGTAATAAATTATTAATATAAAAAATTTGTTTGTTTTTTCTTTTTACATATTTTGTTAAAAGGCCAAATAAGGACTTCAAACCAAAAAAAAGTTATTTTAAAATGCAGATTTCAACAAAAGTGGCTGGAAAACGAGGAATTTCGGGACATGGCTGCAGCCTGTTGACATGTACCTGTTGGTGGCTTTAAAATCATTTCTAAGAGCATTAAAAAGCATTAAATTTGAGTTATTCATTCCTGTATAAACCCTGTTGTCTGTTGACTTGGGATTTTGTCAGTCAGTCTGTTGGCTTTCCAACCAAACTACCCATCAGTTTCTGTCAAATATCCCTTGGATTTGTGTCCATCTGTCAAACTGCTGTCATGTCATACATCCCTCTAACCACATGTCTGTCCAACCATCAGTTAGTTTTTCATACCTGCTGTCTCTCTAAACCGTCTAACAATCGGTTTTCAGTCCATCCAGCCTGCAGTTTTACTCTTTGACGGAAAAAAAGTCTGGGAATGTGTTTTTATTGGGGAGGAAATGGTCTTTCTGAACTGAAAGTTGTCGATCAAAATCCCACCTTCTGAAGATTGAGCGGAGCGGTGTGCTCCTCTTGAAAGGCAGGACAGCAGATGCACACAATGTTTCTGGAGGTGGAGTGTGAAACAGATGAGACGTATGGTTTTATTACTGCTCAATAAAACCTTTTCATTTGAATGCGATTCATCTCCTGCCTCCGTCTTACAGAGGACTGCACTCCAGCGTACAATGGCTGGTCTGTCTGCTCTATGAGCACCTAGGTGCTGGTAATGACGCTGCTTCTTCACAGCATCCTCCGTGTACCTGATGACTCATTTAGATTAAAATGAGGAGTTCACTCTGAGTGCAGCGTATGTGTTGGACACAGTTAACATCTGGATGCTCCTGTCCTTCCCTCTGAAGCCTCTGGCTGAGCATCAGCATGCTGTATAATGAGTGATAAGGCAGGAGAGTCTGCTTCTGTTTAAAGAATGCTTCCTTAGTCATCTGGAGCGCTAATATCCCCCCCCCCCCCCCCTGCTTTGCAAACAAGCCCTTTGCTGTCGCACATCTATATCACACTCTCTATTCTGGGAGTCTTATCTTCAGATTCGTGGAATACGTCACGGTTTGCTAGAGGAGTATTTATAAATTGTACTGGGCTTTTTTTTTCTGCTGTTTTTCCACTGATTCCTGTTGGGAATCTTCTATATTCCCTTGGCTGATGAAAATAATTGACCAAAAGGAACTCCATATTTGGTGAACTGTGTTTTTGATGTCTTGGTCAGATGGCTCACTGTTCTCCATTTATCCCCCCCCACTCCAGGCTTATGAACTCTCCACCCTGACGGGAACCCAGGTTCTGCTGCTGGTGGCCAGCGAAACGGGTCACGTCTACACTTTCGCCACCCGAAAACTCCAGCCAATGATCACCAGCGAAACGGGTAAAGCACTGATCCAGACGTGCCTTAACTCACCAGACTCGCCGCCTCGCTCCGACCCTTCCATGGACCAGCGCATGAGCGCCACGGGCTTCGAGGAGACGGATCTCACCTACCAGGTGTCGGAGTCGGAGAGCATGGGTGACACAAAGGTGAAAACAAAGCCTCTGAATCGGTACCTTTGTTTCTCTCTCTGTCTGCTTTCTGTTGGTGAAATGAATTACAGTTTAGAACAACAGATAAAGCGCAGCAGAGAGTAACTAATGACTATTGTAAGAAGTTTCTCTAGAAAAGGCCAGCGCGCACGAAGAGGAGAACAATCAAGCTGAGGAGCAGCTGTGTAGAAATGAGTTTTCGCCCACGTCTTGACAGTTTTTCTGGTTTGGGTCTGCTGTCAGTCCTTTCAGTGTTTTTTACATTACACAAAAATATCTATGTGTTTTTTGATGTTCTTCTTTTCTCCAAGTTGTACCATAGATTCTTATTTTTAACTTTTGTCTGGGCTTTGATTGGACCTTTACATTGGAGCCGGGGCTTAATTTTAAAACCGCTGTGCTGGTTGAAGGGAAACCTTCGCTTCCGTCTCTAGTCTTCTGCAGCCTCTAACAGGATTTATCATCCAGGAGGTCCCCACAGCATAATACTGCCCTCACCATATTTAACTCAGGGGGTTGTGTGTTTACAATCAGGATTCTTGAGTTCTAAATTATTGCAACTAACAACTACTTGTACTCAAAAACACTGTTTACGCAGCTTGACAGGTGGCTTAACGGCCCTATGTGAGATAAACATGGACCTCGATGATCCAGATAGCATTTTGCAGGTAAAATGCTTTTTTTTTTTTTTCGTTTTTAGATATTTTGGTTAATTTTTAACATTCTTCCATTAAAAACGAGATTTGGTTTTGTACGATTAATCAGTTGATCCTTCTGTCTGAGGTGTGGATCCCAGCAGCTCCTCCTGTGTCTCCATGGGTGCTTTAGCTGCTTCTCTGACTAATACTCTCCTAAAGTATGTTTTAAATAATAATAAAAAATATATATATTAGGGGTGGAACGGTTCACAAAATCTACGGTTCGGTTCGATTCACGGTTTCGTGGTCACGGTTTTCAGTTCGGTTCGATTCGGTACATGTTGATTGTTACACCGAAATCCCATAAAAAATTATGAAATTAATGAAAAATCCCCAAAAAATAATGGATTGTAATTATTTTAAATGATCTGCGGAAACCCTGGATCATTTCCGTATGTTTTGCTGCTTTGAACTTAATCATCTCGCGCATGCTCTCTACCATGCTCTCCAAGGGACTCAGAGGGGAGCGGACGGAAGCCACAGTGGAGGCTGCAGGCTTTGCTTTGAACAGCCGGTCTGGAGGGCAGCGGGGCGGAGCGGGGGTTGCTGACGGAGTATGAGGGATTTCGGGGTTAGCATGACATGTTGGTCATGTTGCTGTTAGCATAACCAAAACGTTTTGCACAATGCTTGCACACTGTTGCACTTTTATCCACAACTTTCTTTCCGCCGTCATTGTAAGTCACTCTAAATGCAAAGCGCTCCCATACAACAGACCTATAAAGTGCTGCTGGCGCGTCTTCCAACTCCTGTTCTTTCCCACTCGCCATACCCACACAAAACTCCACAACAACTGATTTTTTTCCCTGTTACACCCGCTGGCTAAGCTGCTTCACTTCTTCTTCTTCTTCTCCTTGTTTACTACTGGTGGTTGGCTTTGGTCGCAGTACCGCCACCTTCTGCTCTGGAGTGTAAACGCTTCGCCCATGAGAAAAAGGAGCAGAGCATGAACTGAACGAAACACACGCGAATCGAACCGAGATAGTCGAACCGAACGGTTCGGACGGTTTTCATAAATCGTCCCATCCCTTTTATATATATATATATATATATATATATATATATATATATATATATATATCCTTTTAATGGTTCTATTTGAGATTACTCACTCCTAATCAAGCCCAACACATTAATGTTGTAATGTCACATGTTCCAGCCATACATTTACAAGGTACTGAAGGTTTTACTAGCAAACTATCTTACAAAGCCGAGAAAATGTCTCTGTAGTTCCTTGTAAGGTGTTAGACCAAAGACGGAGTCAGATATGGAGATTTGAGGAATTAAGTGAAGGGAATGATCTCTAACACATTTCCTCTGTGACCTCTCTTCAGCCAGAGAAAAAAAAAACACACACACTCCTCCTAAAGATAAATCCCAGCAGGTCTGGGATGTGTTAGGATAAGAGACGAGTACCCGGCTCAACTGAGCCTGTTAGTGACATGGAAGGCTCTGTGTTTGTTCTTGAGATAACATCTTTAAGCGTTTTTCTTAAAAACCCAAATTCAACAAATCCACACATTAAAACTTTGCACCATTTTGCAAAATTACTCCTTAAACATTTGGATATGAATCATACAAATCTAAAAAAAAAAAGCAGCTTTTATGCTTGGATGCACAAGAGTTTGAGGGAACTGAATAAAATTGCACAAAAAAAGCACTTTTTTTTTACTTTTACCAATTTTGTGCCATTTTATGCTGGCAAAAAAGAAAAATTAAAGTAAATAGCACTGAAGGGAGTCACTTATAATGAAATGTAGAAGAACTTGAGAGTAATTGTTTGTTTGCACATAAATCTAAAGCTGAAATGCATCCCCAGCGTCTCTCCTGCCGTTTGCACCTTCGTGCGATGGTGTGCTGGAGGCTGATATTCCCTCCGCTGTTTGCACAGCTTAAGTGTGCACCTTTTGAAGACGGACGCTCGCAGGCCCCCTGTTCGCTGTTTTCACAGGGCGCCAGCTAGTGCGTCCCAGACTCCCCGTCAAGGATGGGAGCTCAACCTTTGCCTTTTAATCCACTCTCATGCCCGCTCCGCTCATTGATAAAAATTAGATTCTGCCTCTGTTGCCATATATGGTATGGTTTCCCTGCCTGCACTCTTGGCTGAGGCCCCTCGCATTCCTTATAAGCTGCAGCTGTCTTTGGAGTCCTGTGATTTCGACCCTCCGCTCCAACCCCCACCCCTAAACCCTCTGGTTTAGCGATACGGCGGGGAGCTTTGGATGCAGATACAAGCAAGTGGGCTGGAAACATTTATTCAATACTGGTCGTCTTGCTTCCAGTGACGTCTGGCATGGGTGCCGGTGGCCCAGTGCCGCCCCAGCTTTTAGCGCTGCTTAAAAGCTGTTAACCCTTATACAGAAGATTTATGTGGGATCCATGCACTGTTATGGCTGAGGCCCGGCAGGTGGATACGATTTTTGAGGGATGGTTTCAGTGTAGTGGCTCTGCCGTATGGCTGCTGCTGTGCGAGCGTCTGGACTCTGTCCATGGTGAGAGTGGCGTGTCATGCATACAGACCAAGCTAGTCTAAACAATTCAGTTTGCAGAGGCTGGAGGGGGAAGTAGAGAACTTTTTGGAAAGAGGGAGAAAAAAGGAGGTTTAGGAGATAAGTAGACATGATTTAGAGCCGTGAGCCTGAAATGTTCAGATGATAGAAACGGTGCTGCTGAGATGCCGCTGCTTGTGGTTGGAAGATTTTAGACGTTTCTTTTAGAACATGTAAAGTAGAGCAGCAGACCCCCCCTCCCCCGATTGCACACTGCTTGTCAGTTGGCTGAATAACGGCATGCTATCCATTTCCTTAGCTTTGAAAAACAAGAAATGTGGATATTTAGAAAAAAAACGTATGGTTAATATCAGTATCATGCCTGTTACACATCTTAACCGTCTACATTTCATCCAAAGGTTTTAAAAAGTTACAGGTGTGAACCCACTGAAACTTTACATCTAGAGATCGACCTTTAAAGTTTATTCTGATACCGATTATTTTGATATTAGTGTCATCCCGATATGTGCTGCCAATTTTTTTTCTTTATTTCTATCCTCTTATCCATTTATGTAGATTGCAGAGAAGGTGAAGCAGTTACCAGGCTCGCCTGCTCCTGCACCCTGCTGCCCAGCTGGCTGAAGGGTGATGACTAAAGCTCTCTTACTACTGATATTAAGCACTAATCCAGCTGTTGATGTGTCTATATAGGATAGTTTGATTAGTGACCGATAGATTCCCAGTGTATCTCTTGATAAGAAATACCAGAGTTTTTAGTTTTGTTTTTTGTACAAAAACCAAAATAGCAATAACCATGTTATAGCAACACTGTTAGGAGTATAATAGTTGCTGTTGTATTTTAGATAATTGTTGTTTTTCTGCCTTTAAGTAAAATCAGTTCAATCATGTTGTTTTTTTGTTGTTGTTTCAAATGGTTTAGAAGTTGAATTAGTTCATACCATGGTGCTGAGAAACTGCAATGTCTATAAAAAAAAACGTATTACGCCATTAGAATCTCATACCAGCCTTAGACCAGTATTGACTTCTAGAGTGCCGCCTATCAGCCTCATGACGTTGTGCTGTCTTAAAGTTGTGCTTGGAAAGCATCAGGTTGCTGGCTCACTAACTACCCAGCTTACATCAGCTTGTTTAGCATTTTACCCTGTATAGAGAAGAACCTCGAAGTGGGATATTCAGTGCAATAAGCACTCAAACTAAAGTCTGTGTATCAAAATGTGCTTTTTCATTTTTTGGCATAAAACTAGTAGGATCATGTTTTTAGTTTTTGTGCAAACATTGTGGTTCTGATGAAGGTTATGGTCCAGTGGGCCTCTCATTTCGCCCAATGCTTCCAGCAGAATAGGTTGATGCTTCTCTACCTGCTCGGTGTCTGGTGCTCCAGCAGCAGCTTCAGGTTTTTATCTCAGCCTGGAAACAAAGGAGAGCGGCTCAACAAGCTGTTATTAGATGAGCTTTACAGGGTTTTTTTTAAGGACATTTTCCCTTTGTTCCCATGAACATGAAAACAAGAGTTTTTATTTCCCAGCTGTTCTCTGTTAACACAGTGACTGATCCAGTTATTAGATTTAAGCTTTATTGTGTTGACTAAGGAGTTTTGTCTTTGTGGAAATAGAATTTAGCCGCTTAGAAGGGGACAAGTCTGTCATGTTGCTGTGCGCTGCTGGCCAGCTAAATTTAGCTTCTTTGCATATAAAAATGGCAAAATTTATCTCGTAGGTAAAATTATGAAATGCTGTGAAGCATTAGGATTAAATGTGGATGTGTCTGCATATTCATTTGAGTTCTGATG